GGAACGGAAAGGCACTATCAGAAGAAATCTTTCAGTTAAGGGAGACACAACCACGTTTTATGAATAAAGTAAAAGAAGGCTACAGCAGGATCGTCACTGGCTTCTATTCTGAGCCATATCTGATAACGTCTCTAGCCACTGTAGCACCATCTCTCGGACCCCAACCAGGGAGTCGTGAAGGACCAATAGAAGCCAGTCCTTCGCAGCTTTCTTTCATACCACGACACCATGTCATGCACTGACCACCTCTCCGCTTCTTCCAACCAGTCCCAGAGTCGGCAAATAATGCACGACGTGGAATCCTCTGGGACAACATCCGTAGAACATGTCCAAGCCACCGAAGTCGGTGTTTCAAGATGGTGACATCAGTTGCATTATCATCTCTGTGCCTGAACACACGATGCCGAACCTCTGCATTACTAACATGGTGTTGCCACTGGATGTCAGCAATCCTTCGGAGACAACGATGATCGAACACAGAGAGTCTTCTAACGTCCTCAACTCGGAGAGGTCAGGTTTCACAAGCATAAAGCAAGACTGCTCTCACCGACGCATTCTAGACCCGACCTTTTGCGGCCAGACTAACATCACGAAGGCGCCAAAGGTGGCCCAGATTGGCATAAGCCGCTCTGGCTTTCACTATACGTGCATTGATCTCATCACTCACACCCCCACCAGCACTTATGCAGCTACCCAGATACACGAACTTCTCGACTACGTCTATCTGCTCACCATCCAGGGTGAGTACAGGATTGGAATCCTGCCAGTCTTGTAGAAGTACTTTGCACTTCGAAGGTGCAAAGCACATACCATACCTACGGACACTGGTTGCCAACTGATTAAGCGCGAATTGCATGTCTTGGGGATTATCGCACAGTAAGACAATATCATCTGTATACTCAAGATCGAGAAGTCTTTCTCCAGGCAACAGATCCACACCACCATTACTTACATCCATCAGAGCTGTTTCCAGAATGTCATCGATAGCAAAGTTGAAGAGGAATGGTGAGGTTGGGCAACCCTGCCTAACCCCACTGCTCGAATGGAACAATGGAGAGAGGTGGTTGTATACCCTCACTCTGTTTGAGGTGTTTGTGTATAGGGCTTTTAGGATGTAAATAAACTTCTCAGGCACACTCTTCAATAGAAAATCCCAGGGCACAGTCCTATACAACGAATCGAAGGCAGTCCTGATGTCAAGAAACACTACGATTGTTGGCCTTTGATAAGTATGGCGGTGTTCTAACATTTGGCGGAGGGTGAAGATATGATCAATACATCCTCGACCAGAACGAAACCCAGCCTGCTCCTCGCGAGTCAATCTTTCTCGGATTTTGAACAACCTACGAAGTATGACGGAAACCAATAGCTTGAACGCAATCGGAAGTAGACTTATCCCCCGATAGTTGTTACAGGAACGACGTGAACCCTTTTTAAAGATAGGGACAACTATCGACTCATTCCATGACGTTGGTATACTCTCTAGTTCCCAAACCTTTGTAAATAACGTCGTCAATTCCTTAGTCAGAAAGTCACCACCATCTTTAAAAAGAGCCGGAGGTAAGTCATCTGGGCCAGGTGATTTGTAGCGCTTCAAGAGTTGGAGTTCCTTGCGGACTTCCGCCTCATTTGGTGGATCAGTCGTCACCTGCCATGGAGGGCAGGACAGTCTGACCGATGTTGCCGGAGCAGCAGGCCAGTTGAACTGTCCTTCGAAAAATTCTGCCCATCGTCCAAGACGTCGATGGATGTTAGTGATTGGCATCCCGTCATCCTCACAGATTGTTTCGCTCACACCAGACTTCTTGCTGCCAGTGGCTCGGATGAGTTGGAAGAGCTTCCGGTAATGACCAGATGCAGCTGCTGCTTCCAGCTCATTAGCACGCTCCGACCACCAGGCTTCTCGGTCCTTACGCAAGCTTTACCCAATTTCCTTACGTAACACCCTTCGTTTGTGGTCAAACTCACGGTCGCCCGGAATAGACCGACGGGTTTCAATGAGTTGTAAGGAGCCTGAAGAAACCCAGTGCCTATGGGCGGGACGTTTCGCGAACCCACAACTGACTGTACCCGCCATTTTCATGGCTTCATGCGATTGCAATCAATGCTCATCTATTCTTTTCGGTGGAATGGTAGCTAGCCTAGAAACTAGCTCGGTTCGATACTTACTAGCAACAGAGGTTGCAACCAGCTTGCTAATATCAATTCGTTGATGGCGTTCAGTTCGTTGGCCACTGAAAAGTAAGGCAAGATTGGCGCAGATCAAGGCATGGTCAGAGTCCAGATAGGTACTCCAAAAGGAGCGGCAGTCTTGTACACAACCACGCCAGCGGTAGCTGGTCGCGATGAGATCAATGTGAGTCCAGGCTTAGGATGTAGAGGAAGGACGCCAGGTGGCACATCGGCGATGACTGTGCCGGGATTTAGTGCTAGCTAGAAACAGGTTGTAGTCTGCGCACAGTTGCAGTAGACGGTCCCCGTTATCTGACCTGCGACCAACGAGTCCCCATCGGCCACCTAAACAACTCTCTTCTGTGCCTAGACGCCCGACCTGAGCATTCAAGTCTCCCGCTAGTACTATAATATCTATCGAACGCGCTTTCTGGAGAACAGATAACTGGTGGTAAAACTCATCCTTGATTGCATCCGGGCTGCAATCTGTCGGGGCATAGGCAGAGATGACGAAAAGACATCGTTTCTCACGCCGATTTCTTCTCACTTTGGTGGAACTTTCTAATCTAACAGCACATAACCGACTGTTAATGGGGATCCAATCGATTAGTGCTGCCTCAGCTCTAGCGCTTAGTGGGACACCAACGCCAGCAAGACCAGACGAAGATGCCATAGGGTCCCCGGATAAGCGCACGCAAAACAAGCTTTTCGAAGCGACAGATGGAGGTCGAATTTGTAGTACTTCACCAGAGTCTTGAATACGGGTCTCGGATAGACAGCAGACATCGATATTAAGACTTTCCAAAGACATAGCCAGCCCTATCTATTGTCCAACCTGCATAAGTGTGCGAACGTTGAAGGCAGCCAGTTTGAATGGTGCACGTGGTTTCCGATAAACTGCTTCAGTCCTCATATTCGATGGTAACATACAACTTTCAACCGGACAGTGACTCGAGAACGTTTAGATACAGTCGAATTTCCACCAAAGACGAGCCGCTGTATAAGTATAAAAGAGGGTGAATAATGTGGTAAATAATAATAATAATAAAAATAATAATAATCATTTAATTGTTATTCGAAGCGAGAGAAGTAGTTTCCATAGATATAGAGAGTTCATTATTTGCGTGTGAGCTGCGATACTGCCCGGGTGCCCAGACCGAAGCAGGTGGTTTTCTTAAGGGGCCACACCCCGAGCCTTTGACCTAATGGTCTAACCCACAAGGCAGTGGAGTATCGTAAGGAGATGCAGTCCCATGGTATCCGGTGACCAACAGTTGGTTCATACGCCATTTGTTCCCGCAGGATACTAGAGCCCATGTGCACCATTGGTTTGGGATCCGGTTAAATCGCCGGACATTCGCTTTTCGTCCTCTCATTTTCGTAAACAACACCTCCGCCACGAGAAGGCAATGAGTAGGACTTCCCTGACAGAGGCTGTATACGCGTGACCGTGTGAGAGTATTTCGAGAGGGAGGGCGAGCCCACCCCACTCTCGGTCGTACCAGGGCATTTGGCGGCAAATAGACTAGAACTCTCACAAGGCACGATCAAGAATTCGAATTTGAAGTAGGCAGAATGATATTGTATCGTATCATTATGTCACATTAAAACACAACTGCTCAGAAGTCCCATACTAGGACTAAATGGCCGTCCTGAGATTCCACGTTTTCAATGATAGTCTAGCAGTAATCAACTCATAATTTCGATGAAATTCAACAATCTCAAAAGCCTCAATCTGAAAACCTCATGAAATGTTTAGTTGTACAGTAACTGCATTAATTATTGGCCAAATCTTTGTGATATTAGATTCAGAAGATTAAATACGGTCCTTTTAGTTAAAGATACAAAGTACACTGAACGAATTCCAATAACTGTAACCCATTATTTTAGGTCCGATTTTATCATATGCAGTTGAAGATACCAAGTTTTCATTCTCACTACTTCGTTTGATACTTTTTCATAAAGTACAATAGTTCCGTTTTTGTCCAGTGCTTAATTAACGATTCCCTGGGTTTACACTTCATTTTCTTGTATGATTATCATAAAACGAACATAATCAAGTAATAGAGATCTTTATATCCATAGATTTGAACAGTTTTCGTTTACAGATTTCCTGTTAACTGCTGCACTGATCATTTATTACTTGAGTTCACTTTTGTCCAATGCACAAACTTCATTCCAGCCATTGTATTATCGACTGCTTAGTTCGTTGTTCCCTAGAGGATTTTAGTTCTGACATCTGATTTATTTACTATTCGTAATGCAGAAATCAGCAATAGAAAATACGAATTTTTTGACTTCCAATTGTTTGTATTCTAATTAGATATCCATTCAGTAGTGTTTCCGACTGGAGTGCTAAATATTGCAAGTTCTAGTCTGAGATCTATGTTGATGACGAAACGCAGTATCATGTTTTAAAAAGGTAAACTCTTGGTCTGAACATATACTGTTCATCGTTTGTATTTGCTAAGAGTGTCATATCCTTAAAAACCACATCGGAACTAGGAGTTGTCGTTATTGGTTCAAAACACATCATTAACATCCAGTACTGGCCTTATCATGGTTTTTTCTTTTAATTCCACATAATTCGCTAAAATATTTTTTTCTTATTTCCTGAACGTTTTTATGTTATTCCACTTGACAGTCAAAATATCCAGAGAAGAAGCGAATTTGTGCAATGCATTCACAAAATGCATACGTCACGATTCTGGGTACAATGGTTTCTATCTACAACCGATGCACAAATGTAGCTCAGTAAGTATTTCAATACCAATAATATGTCTTGTATTCGAGCAAAATGACACCATATTTGACTCACCTAGCTGAAAGGAAATCAAGACAAATAGAAGGATAAATTTACCATTCACATTCATTATTAACTTTTTCTCTCCAGTTATTTGAATTTTTCTAAATCAGTCTCAATCGGGGATGACGAGCAACAGTCTAACTAAACATGGTTTCACGAATAGTCTCCCAATAATTGTTGAGCATGTTGCGGCGTAAAAAAGATTAATGTTGGGTGTAATTTGTAAAGTTTACAAGTGTTGTAACTTATAGATGAATGACAGCTGAAGTTTTTTTCCTCAAACTAATTAGAGGTATGACTAACTATCTTTTCACCCTAAGGATTATTTACGAAGTTGCGTAAACATGCAAGTTTCTCTATAGCTGTTTTTTTGCTAAAGATAACTGATAAATATTTTTTGCGATACTGTATTTAACCTTATATCGCGGTATAACTGTAACAATAAGAGTTTAAGCTCACTCATGCAATTTTTCCTCACTAACAAAATTTATTCAGTGTTCTTAATTAGCTGATAATAGTTTCTCTAACAGTCTCTCAAAGAATATCAAAATTATTGGTAGATTATGCATTCGCGTTTGAGATAAGTTATATTAAGGACTTGGCTTTCAGGTTAATTTGCGCTTCGAATGTGAACGGCATTTTGGAAACTGCGTCTGCGAACTTCGGCCTCAGCTTCTATGGCAGTTAAAATCTTTTTTTCTTCGTGTTTTACATGGGAACCAATTAGTCTTCAGCTAATATCTGCCTATCTAAAATCCGTTGTCGGTCGACACTATCTTGAAATCATAAAACATCAGTATATTTTTCCATCGTTGTAAACAGTTTGCTGTATAAACAGGGATACTCTTTCTAGATCCAAAAACTACTAGTAGAGGTTTGTGGTCTTTTAGCAACGTAAACTGTCTGCCGAGTAACATCTTGTGAAACCTCTTCACAGCAAGGATAATGGAGAGGGCTTCCTTCTCTATCTGACTATAGTTCGTTCCTGTCGTCAGTAATCATGCAGCATGGGCAACCGCTATCTTTGATCCATCTAAGTAGATATGTGAAGTCACTGCTCCAATTCCATAATTTGATTCATCTGCTGTGATCACAATGGTAAGGGCTGGATCATAATGCTTAAGTAGGTTTAATGCTAGGAGCTGTTTTAGTTCTAGGAATGCTTGACATTCTGTTGACCTGATCTTTGTTAGTAAACATTTCAGCGGGGCACGCAGACGATGCAGGTCTGGAAAAAACACAATGATGGTTAACCATTTCCAAGAAGGAACGTGAAGTGAATACATCTGTCGGTGGAGGCATGGTTTTGATCGCCTCGATATTCCCTGGATCAGGTTTTCTTCCATTTTTATCGACTAAAAATCACAGATAGCTCACTTGCTCTACGTACAAATCACCTTTCTCCGCATGTTATCTGAAAACATAATCTGCTGTCTCTGAAAACCATATCCACCTTCCCTAAGTCAACCTAGTCCGTACCCATGATAAATATATCATCCAGATAGGCCGCAGTACCAAGAATATTTTGCAGCATAGTGTCCATAACTTGTTGAAAGATTGAAGGCACTGTCTTTACTCCAAAAGGAAGTCTTATATCGGAACAAACCTTTGTGTGTGTTTATAGTCAGGTAATGCTTGCTCTCTTCAGCTACTGGGATTCTAAATAAGCTTCTGATAAATACAATTTTGCGAAATACTCCCCCCTCATTCAGTTTCGCAAATAAGTCTTCTGGTAAAGGCGAAGGGTACTGATGGGCTTCAAGTGTTTTGTTTAGGCATGCTCAATAAGGTCTCCACTGGCCCGTCAGTCCTCACTCGACTGCAAATATGAATAATGGGGGGATTTGCTAACTGTAGCTTTTCTAATAAGTCTAGACCCAGCAAATCTAGTCCTGGACGTTCTGTGAGATTTGATGTTGCTCTCGTCTTTTCATTTTCTTTTGAATCGACACAGCATACCTCTCCAACAATATTTAATTTCCCACCAGATGTACTGTGGGCTAACTCGGTTGTTGGAAGCATCGGGGTTTTTCCATCATTCTTCCAGGTTTTTCGGCTGATGAGTGTAATGTTAGAAGCAGGCGGGTGCTGTGACCGTCGACCTTGATGGTTGCATATTTTCGTCGACTGTATTCTGTTTCCGTGTGTGCTACCGTTACTTGGCTGGTTGAAGTGTGCGGTTTATGTCTCCTGGAATAAAATCGCGGTAAGCGACGACGATACATTTTCCTTTTACAGCAGGATCCCTTATGTCCTTTATGCTGACGTTTAGTGCAACGGTAGTTTTTATATGGACAAAACTTCTTGTAATGCCATTCCTCACTCTTGTAATACCGCGTTGGAATATATTCGTACTTAACTGTGTGATGCTATTTTGGACTTTTTTCTAAATTCATTTGACATCATTGAATCTTAATCCAGTCATTATTATTACTTTTTTCCTCTCCTTTTTTATATCTCAGTCAACACATATATCAGTTTTGCCATTCGAACTGCTTTTGAGAATAATTCGATGGACCATTGGCAGCCATCTAAATATACGTGTTCTAGGCGTTTTATCTTGTGTAAGTTTTTGAAAAGTCTATTTTCATCATTGTAAAAATATCACTTAACCATTCTAAGCCCCTTTGATAAATTTCGATAATGCATTAAGAAGACAGAGGTTATCAGAATTATGTGATATATTTGTGCAACTCATCTCGAGCAATCTGATCACATATATACTTTTTAGGACATTTTTATATGAAAACTAAATGGTCAACTAGATAGGTTTAAAGGTAAGCCTTAACAAAAAAATAAGGTGCACAAAAACAATGTGGTTGAGACTGGTCATAAGGCTGATATCAAGTCAGCATTTCTAGTGTTGTACAAAAGCCTTAGCTATACGTAAACTGAAACCCCCTTTATATGTTCAAAAACAATTTGGTCTTAACCTTAACCTACCCTGGAAATATTGATTTATTATACAGGATGATTATCATATTGTTTTTGTGTACTTTATATCTCTTAGTTACGGCTTACCTTTAACCTGCCTACTTGACCATTTGCCCCCAAATACCCTGGTACGGCCGAGAGTGGGGAGAGTCCGCTCTCCCTCTCTAAATGCTCTCACATGGCCACGCGTATATAGCCTCTGCCAGGGAAGTCCTACTCATTGCCTTCTCGTGGCAGGGGTGTTGTTTACGAAATTGAGAGGACGAAAAGCGAATGTCCGGCGCTTTAACCGGGATGGTGGACATGGAGAGTCCATTTAGGGGAGTTGGGAAACCCTTATTCCAAACCAATGGTGCACATGGGCTCCAGTATCCTGAAGGAACGAATGGTGTTTGAACCAATCGTTGGTCACCGGATACCATAGGACTGCATCTCCTTACGATACTCCACTGCCTTGTGGATCAGACCTTCAAGTCGACGGCTCCGGGTGTGGCCCTTTAAGAAAACCACCTGCTTCGGTCTGGGCACCAGGGGAGTATCATAGCCCTCACAAATATCAAGTGAGATTTGTATGGCGCTTATGTATTTGGTGCCCCCTTGCACTAAAATCTATGTGTTAAAATAAATAATAGTTGACCACTTCGTTTTCATATAAAAATGTCTTAACAGGTATATGTGTTATCAGATTGTTCGGAATGTATTACATAATTCTGATAACCTTTACTCATTGCATTATCGAATTTCATGCAGTCCATTAAACAGGGAAAAGAGACATTAACAACATACCGAACAGTAACTAGAGCATAGGAAAAATGAGTCAACGAACTTTATATCGTTCATGGTAAACATAAAATTATGATCGGTGAATAAACGAAGCATAGCCATACAAGGGCAAAGAAAGTTAATATGGTAATGAGCGTTTCCTGTCGTCATTGCTGGGTTCGTTTATTGATCACACTTCATAAGATATTGAAATTAGTTAAGGTTATCAAGGCCGGTGTTAATGGAATTTAACAGCAGATAGTTGACTTACTTAGTGGATTCTATAACAAGAATGACAAAATATTTACAGTTCCCATAATCTCACTTGTGGAATAAGATACATTGACGGGTGCTAGAACATTTAATGCATTTTCAGAGGAGCAGTATGCTTCAATGCAGCAAACAAACGATGGGAGTAATTTTATCTTACGGATGGATTATGGCAGATTATTCCAGAGCCTGTAAATTTTACATGTTAAGTAATTCATATAGAAAGATGATTTAATGTGGATTTGTTTCACTAATGACAAGGAGTTGCAGATGTAACTAGAAGTTTCTGCATATTGAATTACTCGATTGGATGTAAAGGGATAGTCTATTAAGTATTTTGAAGAAACATATGTTTAGTTTGAGTCTCCTTTTCCATAATGAGTCGAATCCAAGTTTATTACATCTGGAATTAAGATTCAAGTTACAACCAGTTCCAAGAATTCCAGGAGTAAATCATTTATGTACTAAATCCAACCTTAATTTTGTCTTTTGTGTGCACACTACTAAAAATGAACATGCAATATTCTAGGAGTGGTCGAACACGAACTTTGTACAACAAGATACGTGACTCGTTGTTATAAAGGTTCCGAGTTATGTAACCCATAAAAAGTTGAGACAAGGAGGTTTGTTTCAATACCTGTTCTGTAAACGACAAATCGCAGGAGTCCCAAGTCTACTACTGTATGTAACTTAGATAACACCTCACAATTTATGGTAAGATCCGAGTCGAGTGATGTATTACCGAAGTATATACATCCACATTTAGTTGTGTTAAGCTCCAGCTCTCATTTTAAGCACCATTGCGCTACCTTGTTAAGCTCCATGTTTATACAATTTTGCATATTCTTCAGCTCAGGTAAAGAAAATGAATGCACTACTTTAAGATCATCTGCTTACAGAAGGGGCTTACCCGCACAAATACATCCACAACTATCATTGATATAAACTAAAAAAGAGAAAGGGTCTAAGACACTGCTTTGTGTTACACCACTTCTGGCAGGGTCAGCGTCCGACAAGGAAGAGTTAATTCTAACTATTTGATATCGGTGGCTGAAAAAGGAACCAATCCAAGCGAGCGGAGTGTTTTGGACCCCGTAACATGCGATTTTATCTATAAGACGTTGGTGGCTAACCATGTCGATAAGTTTCATAAGTTAAAAAAAGGTGTAGAGTGTAAAAAAACGAAAACGTCCTTATCTGTGTTTTGTATTTTAGAGTTGACTAGACTGTGGTTCAGTGTCGGTGTTTGGTCATATGGGTTACAGCTTGAACAAACTAATGGTAGAGGGATCAAGGATTTTTGAAGGCCAAAAAATCTTTATTTTGATAAGGTAGACTTATTTGCTGAAGTTGACTTGGCAGACAGTCGCGAAATTCACGTACTCGTTGGGGTTCAGTTAATAGTGCGTAACCTGTTAGTCCGTCTTGTCTATCGTGGAAGTGATGAGAAAAGTTATATCTTGCAGATTCAGTACATAAAAGTTTCGGAGTAATCCTGAGACATAATGGTTCCTTTAAGTCTATCTGATATTAGGCCTGCTTACACAATGGTTGTGGTGCCCGTTTTGTGCGTCGTTTGCGCTAAGTGTCTCCATATAACCACCCCTATGAGTAGTAGAGTAAAACAGGATGTCGGAAATATATTTTTGTATGGTGGAGCAATTGTAATATTTTTGGTATTAGTTTTGGAACCAGACAGTTTTATACAGACTTTCTTCCTACATGGTATAGACTTTAATTTTAACAGTATTTTGAAGAGCTTTTACGTTAGAACTGAGTATTTGGGTACGCACTTCTAATGTTAGACTAGGAGATATCAGATTAAAATCTACATTGGGTATATATTGGTTATCTGAGGTCACTACGGGCATAAGTGGTAAGTTAGCAATCTTCGGAATATTGGTTGACACGAGATAGGTTATTTTCATCATTGGGTCCTGCTGCTGAGGCAACGGGATTCAGTGTAATCTCTACATCGTTTTTTTTTCATTTAAGGTGCGCTTTTGCGTAAGCCTTTGATTGGTGGTTTTATCTGAGACTATACGAGCGTTCCTAAACTTCGTAAGCGCACAGATTAACCCTTCAGATTCCTCCAGCTGTTCAGTTAATAAACGTGAATCAAATCTAAACAAGATAGGACACAAGAACTTCTAGTGCTTCTTATTAAGGCGAATACGTTGACACCAACTATCTTGAAAGTCGTAATAATTATAATCACCTTTATTATAATTATTACTATTTAAGTGCTCAAATAATGTTTGTGTATAAGTGCTGGGATGTAAATCTTTTTTTTCTAATGTTCGTAACACAACCTAATAAATACCACAAACGGGTATAAAACAGAATCGTGAAATTCCACCATAATTTCGTTCCAGTTATCTGACAAACTCAACTTTGCCATATAATCAGCATTAATAACTCCAATAGGCGAATCATATTTCTCAATCACAATTGTATCTGAATGTTCGATTTTCATTGCAGATTATAACTCATCCAGGTATGTGTTGGTAAAAATAACCTGTTACATAAAGCACTTTACATCCAACCTTGTGTGCTCCAACCTATTTAATTGCATACTGTTTAAACCTAGTCTTTATTATTTTTTTACTTCTTCCGTCTTTATTACTTCTTTTTTGAATTATCAACAGGTATGTCGTGGTTTCTATCTGTTGGCTAATGATAATTCAATATGGAGAGATATTTGTTTCAAATTATGGCCAGTATGGCTAACATATGACAATAATAATATCGGTTGTAATAATCAACTTAATTATTTATCCTCAATGAATTACACTTCATGGCGTGAAATGGCTATTTATCGACCACAAGTTTTATATCATGGTATGATTTGTCTGTCTGGGGTCTTTCGTTTTCTTTTTGAATTGGACTTAGCTTATATAAACCTCACATATATTACTTCCATCGAACATTTACCAGATCCTAATATTATTGTTCAACATTTTTAAATATTAATAGTTCGTGCAATTCTTCCGCTTGTTAGTCTGTTAAGGAGTCTGGTTAGACGTCATCATTACGATTACACTACTTCATTTTACACAATTACTAGTTGTAGCAAGCAGACTTAAATCGGCTGTTCATACTAATTTATTTTTTGAGAAAATGAATTTATTATTATACAATCTTACAATATACACTACAGAACACAAGTGGGGAAAATTGAATGTATTTGAATACAAAATTGCAGAATCTCTTAGTAAAATCTGAGATCCATACAATAAATACTTCATTTGCAAAATGTCAATCAATTGTCTCAGACTTGGTTGTTCCTTCGGTTCCAAACTAGTCATTCTCTGTTCTCGTTCTCTTCTCTTCGACCACACAGGAACAGTAATACTGCTGGATATTAGTTACTAAACAGAAAAGCAAATGAGAGGTTTTCATACTTAAATTGCTTAGTGTATCTTTTATAGCAAATATGTAGCGTCTATCTTTTCAAAATGTATAAAATGTTGCAGTTATTCCATTCATCCTCCCCCCAACTTTATCTGTCTAAACCTGTTTAGGTTTTTGTTTAACACTAATGGCAATTTCATGAACTTACGATTCATAATTAATATTATATGTGTTCATATATTCAGTCGCTAATCGTGTATTTTTTTAAAAAAAATGCCTCACACTTTTAACAACTTTATCAGAATTGTTCAGTCTAAAATAAAACACACACTTTCTAATAGTATGCTGTCTTTCACTATTACTTACTTACTTACTTACGCCTGTTACTCCTCGTGAAGGAGCATAGGCCGCTCATCAGCATTCTCCATCCAACCATGTCCTGGGCAATCCTTTATAGCTCCTTCCAGTTGTAATTCATCGTTTTCATATCTGCTTCTATTATCCGACGCAATGTGTTCTTTGGCCTTCCTCTTTTTCGCTTCCCTTCAGAATTCCAAGTTAGGGCTTGCCTCGTGATGCAGTTTGACGATTTGCGTAATGTATGTCCTATCCATTTCCATCGTCTTTTCCTAATTTCTTCTTCAGCTGGAAGTTGGTTTGTTCTCTCCCACACAAGGCTATTGCTGATGGTATCCGGCCAATGGATGTTGAGTATCTTGCGTAGACAGCTATTTATAAATACTTGTACTTTCTTGATTGTGGTTGTTGTAGTTCTCCAAGTTTCAGCTCCATACAGTAGAACTGCCTTGACGTTCGTATTGAAGATTCTCATTTTGATATTGGTTGAAAGTTGTTTTGAGTTCCATATGTTCTTCAATTGTAGGAATGCGACCCTTGTTTTGCTGATCCTCGCCTTTACGTCTGCATCTGAACCTCCTTGTTCATCGATGATGCTTCCTAGGTATGTGAAGGACTCTACATCTTCCAGATTTTCGCCATCAAGGCTGGTTGGATTGCTGTTCTCCGCGTTGTATTTGAGGACCTTGGTATGCTGAGGCTTACTGATGCAGAGACTGCTGCTACATTGGCTGTCTTTATCTGCATTTGTTCATGTGTATGCGGTAGGAGGGCCCGGTCATCTGCGAAGTCCAAATTGTCTAATTGATTCTGAGCTGTCCACTGTATTTCGTGTTTTCCCTCAGATGTTGAGGTCTTCATAATCCAGTCGACCACCAAAAGAAAGAGAAAGGGGGAGAGTAGACAGCCTTGTTTGACTCCTGTCCTTATTTGGAATGCATCTGTCATCTGTCTTCCATGCACGACTTTGCATTGCAATATGTCGTATGAATTCCGGGTAATATTGACAATCTTCTCAGGAACTCCGTAGTGTCGAAGAAGTTTCCATAATGTCCTCCTATCTACACTGTCAAATGCCTTTTCATAATCAATGAAATTGATGTACAGTAACGAGTTCCACTCAATTGATTGCTCGACGATGATCCGTAGTGTTGCAATTTGGTCTGTGCATGACCGATCCTTCCGGAATCCAGCTTGTTGATCTCGAAGTTGGGCGTCTACTGCATCCTTCATCCGGTTCAGCAACACTCTGTTGAAGACTTTCCCTGGTATTGACAGTAGTGTAATGCCTCTGTAGTTTTCACATTTGCTCAGATCTCCTTTCTTTGGAATCTTGACGAGGTGTCCTTCTTTCCAGTCCATCGGCATTTGTTCCTCCTCCCAAATCATTTTTAATAAAACGTGAAGCATGTTTGTAGTTACTTTGATATCTGATTTTAGTGCTTCAGCTGGTATGTTGTCGGGTCCTGCTGCTTTCCCGTTCTTGATTTGTCTGACGGCCATTCTAATTTCTTCCGTCGTTGATGGGTTGACATCCGCTTCGATGTCCGGTGGATTCATTGGAGCCGGCCTATTCAGGAGTTCCTCGAATTATTCTACCCATCTGTTACGTTGTTGTTGAATTTCGGTGATTGGCTTGCCTTCTTTGTCTTTGACCGGCCTCTCTGGTTTACTGTATTTCCCTGCTAGTTTCTTCGTTGTATCGTGAAGCTGTTTCATATTTCCTTCCCTTGCATCTTTTTCTGCCGTCGTTGTTAGTTCTTCCACGTATTTCTTCTTGTCGGCTCTAATGCTCCTCTTCACTTGTTTGTTTGCTTCTATGTATTCAGCTCGTGCTTGGACTTTCTCTGCTCGTGTTCGGCTGTTGTTTATTGCTGTCTTCCTGTTTTTCCTTTCTTGAATCTTTTCCAGGGTTTCCATAGAGATCCATTCTTTATGATGGTGTTTCTTTAGGCCCAGAACCTCCTGACACGTTGAAGTTAATGCTTCTTTGATACCTTTCCAGTTGTCCTCTATAGTGGTTTCTTCTTCCTTCATTAGATCTTGTGAGGCTTGGAACCTGTTTTTGAGAGCTATCTTGAATTCATTGAGTTTGACAGAATCTCGAAGGAAGGCTGTATTGAACCTTTGTAGTGCTGTTTGTCCACTTGTCCAGTTCTTTTTTAGCTTCAGTTTTAAATTGGCTACAACTAGGTGGTGATCTGAAGCTACGTCAGCACCTCTCCTAGTTCTCACATCTTCGATTGTCCTTCGGAATTTTTTGTTGATGCAAATATGATCTATCTGGTTCTCTGTAGTGTGGTCCGGTGAGATCCATGTAGCCTTGTGTATACGCTTGTGTGGCAATATTGTGCCTCCTATGACCAATTTGTTGAATGCACATAGATTTACAAATCTTTCTTCATTTTCGTTTCTTTCTCCCAATCCATGTCGTCCCATAATATCTTCATATCCAGTGTTGTCTATTCCGACTTTGACATTTAGATCTCTCATCAGAATAGTTAGGTCCCTCCTTTGGCATTTCTCAATGATTGACTGTAGCCGATCGTAGAACTGATCTTTAATGTCGTCGTTGCTATCATTAGTGGGTGCATAACATTGGATAATATTCATTAAGATCCCCTCCTTTGTATTGAATGATACTTTGATGATTCTGGATCCGTGAGATTGCATTTCATGCTACTTTGGACAGCATAAGAGCGACTGTCTGAGTGTGTGGAGCATTGTCCTCTTCGTGACCGGACTATAGCAGCATCTCTCCCGTAGCTAGCCTTTTCTGTCCAGCTTGGGTCCAGTGGGTTTCGCTGATTCCCAGTACTGCTAAGTTGTATCTCCTCATTTCCGTTGCTTTTTGACTTGTCTTCCCGGTTTCCCACATTGTTCGAACGTTCCATGTACCTATAAAAACTTTTGCTCTGGTTGTTAGAAGGGGCATCGGCCTCGTGGCTTCTGAAGGAACTCGGCTCTCACCATGAAGCGTCATAATTCTTCTAAATGAAGACCTTCTAACTCCCAGGGCAGAGTTAAAATGGTTTGGATTATTTTTTCTGGTAAGCGTTTTTTAGCGAGTTAGTTTTCTACGGGATGGGGACGCTAACCCCATGCCCAACCCTCCTCCTTTACTCAGGCTTGGGACCGGCAGTAACTCTGGAAGAGCTATAGGCGGAGTTGTCTTTCACTATGATTAGTATTATTCTCTGTCTATTTTGTAACATCCAAGTCACGCATGTTAGTCTCTGTATTCTATAATCACTTTCAAAAAGTATTCTTTTTTCACCAATTTCAGCATGAGTATCCAAGCCTTATCGTTGTAATAAGTTAAATATGACTCAGAACCGCATATATAGACCACTTGTACCTGCTAACCGAGTTCAAACTACTACTATTATTGCTATTTATCACCATAATTTCAAAATTATTTAGATTTATTAAGCAGTTGTACAGCGAATGTGACAAATTTTATATTCTCCAACCTTTTGAATTACGAGTAGCCTTAATCCCTAATCCAAATAGTAATGTGCAAATTAATTAAACAAACTCTACTGATAAACTAATCTTCATCAATGAAATATTCCGCTAGTTTAAATCTAAAAATTGTCCCATATGCACTAATAAAGTGTATTACTCCCGGATACCAGCCTTCATTCGATTCACATAGTATACATAGTAAACACTTTATAGTTTGCCTTATAACATTTCTTTACATTTGTCCGTACTGTATTTCTTGCAGTAAAACTGCAATTAAATGTCAGTGAAAATCTGATATTTTGTTTCTTTTCTCCTCTTTTAATGTTATGTTTTCCGAGGATGTTATCTTTGTCGTGTAACCTATGTTAGAACAGGAGAACCGGAAATAGGCTCTTCTTATAAACCTGTATTTAAAGTTGTCTATTATCGTGGTATACGTTTTCATGTTTCATCAAATCAAATCAGCATGTTCACTGCGCCATTAGATCCATCTTCAATTGTGGCAGTTTTAAGCAAATCACATCAGTCCTTGTCATCATCAGTGGATGTCAGTTTAGTTGGAAATAATAACAATAATAATTCCAATTCCGAAGCAGTTATGAAAACAGCTGTTTCTGGTACATTATTGAAGGGAACGTATGAATGGTATGATCATGATTCTGTAAGTTGACTATCATTATTCTTATTACCGGGATAAATCAACAATGGTTATCTGTTATTCTATTGTTGTGGGACAACTCTGAGTTGTAGTGAGGTGGTGACAGCTGATCCAACGAAAATATCCTAAAGAAGGACGTAATCACATAGTTTCCGTCTTCGCTATCATACATGGAAAGCTTACCGTTGTCAGTGTAACCTGCTAACCAAGTACATGCGTGTATGCCCTCGTCTTTAAGCCACAAGTTTTTTATGAGGACTACTGATACTAATTGTCTGTCCAAATCAATGTTGATGGAGCATGGTTCGAACATCTTATCAATAGTAAATCGAATGCTTTAGCCGTCAAATCACTTCATTCCTACTGTAAACACGTTTATGCTGATAGAGTAATTTCTAGTCTCGTCAAGTTCGTCCTCACCTATTCAAGAAATCACTACTCATATAAATACTATTTATGACACTTCGATTGCCTATAATATGTCCAATTGCAACTTGTAAGCAATGGTGCTCTTATTTCTCAAAATAATTCGATTAAACAAGTGTTGAAAGTACCAATCAGCAGACCAAACCATGAGACATATTTAACTTGCAGTTATCGATCGTGTTGAACTTAACAAAATTTTATTATTTTATACACCTACCTTTATAACTGTGCGCCCAGAAATTACAGAATTAGGAGTATTGATAGTCTAATTAATCAGTTTAGCTGTTATCTTTATTAGCATTCTTTGTCAAGATATATAGAATAAGTAAATGGTTTTTAGGTAACCTATTGTTTAATTACACAGAATAGATAGGATGTGGCTGGTAGTGGAATCCAGAACGTGCGTTTTGTCCTATTTGGGAGTCGTTAGCTGGTTGCACCTGCAACCCAGATTTGATGTTTACTCGGGCACTCAAACCCAGCACGATTTGCTTCAAACTACATCGCGTTATACACTTGACTACTGAAACCAAAACTAATCAAATTTCAGTCAAAAATATAAACGGGATAATCCAAACCACTTCAAATTGAATTAAATATGTTAAATCTTTGCATTCATATAGACACAAGTAGGTTGTGAGCTACACACTAGTCGTACCTAAACAACTGGGATTATATATCGTATCAAGGTCAAGTTGATTTAATACTCTGACTTGTAAAAATCTGCGATAAACTCCAGACAAAAAATACTACTTCAAAATATCCCTTAAATATCCGAATTTTGTTCTCAAGTCCAAGCTTTACCGCACACACTACATAAAAAACTCCTTTTTCATTTTTTTCACTAACCATTATAAGCTCGTTTAATGTATCCGTTCCCTAATTTTGTTACTTCTTGCTTGTTTATTTTCAGATTGTGTGCACTTTACATCAATTTTCCGATAAACAAAATCGACCCCCAATAAGGAGACGCCAACATTTGGGTCCTGTTGTTCCACAGTTAACAGTTACTTTCACAATAGTAAGTTTGTGTATTATTTTTTGTAAGAAAAATACAGTTGAAGGTTTACTTAGTATATGTTAGAGATTCAAACACTATTTAAGGTTTGTTTTTTTTATATTTTCTTCTACGGTACGACTAGATAATTAAAGTGTATTCGGTTTTAAGTCACCACCTGATGTATGGTATGTAGTTCAGATCGAAGTAGATAAGGCCTATATTTGATATCCAAACCTAAAAGTCAATGATTGTGAAAGCTAATTGGTTCGGCTACTAAGTTCTCACTCATATTTTAGCGTTGTACAAAATTTATATAATTAACAATGATTATTTTCTGTAAGTTGTATATCTAGACTGGTTGAATACTAATCATTTTATTGAAGACTAGTTCAATCCAAATCATCATATGTGGAAAAAAATAAGCGGAATGAGGGCGTGTCGATGAGAGATAGAGAATGAATGAGTTAATAACCCGATGTTTTATCATCACTGCTTGTTAAAAGTGTAAAGTTTTGAAGATGTCAGGTCTTTCCCGCTAAATAACTATTTGCGTTCAAGTTGTGTGTTAATTAGTTTGTACAAACCAAAGTGTATTTTTTTCACAATAACAGGTACGTCCTTTATCCCAGTCGTTAAATAACTAGAAAGTTCCAAACTTTTGTTTGCACTGATGAAAAGGCAATCAGCTTATTTACCAATCAGATTAGATCGGGCACCCTTTAGTCTGAAAAAACACCAAACTTACGTTTATATCGACTATTTGGCAAAAAATTTAAAATTAAGCAGTTAATTTGACAGAAAGATCTTCAGTCAGTCAGTCAGTAACAACGTAGAACTTTGTACGTACGTACATCATTCCGACTTGCCACACCACATTAGCACACAAATTTAGTGACCGATTCAAATCCCGTTCTGGTGGAGGTAATAAGAGTATAAGTAGTAATCGGGAAGATTAGTGCTTGTAGATGTTATTTAAAGAGTATAATACAGTGAAATAAGTTTGGGAAGAGAAAAAAAAGACAAGGAGGAATAAGGAGATCAAAATTCGGTAGAACACAAAGAGTGTATGCACCTGCGCCATTGCAAACGATTTTGAGCCATGTCATTTAGGGTCTCTAACTATCGGTTGCTATCATATCGCAGTCCCCAACCAGATAGTCTGCATCTACCAACATGACTCAGTCCACTTGTCAGTGACTTCATGGACTTGTGCCATGTTTTGGTCTGGCCGCCCCTAAATTTCTTCCAACCTACTACTACACCATAAAATATCGTATGTCGGGGCAGTTGATGGTTGGGCATACGTAACACGTGTCCCAGCCATCTCAACTGATGAAGTTTCACTACGTCATCAATTGATTTGCCATCCTTACCTAGTACCCGTTTCCTAACAACTCCGTTACTTACTCCATGGTCCCAGGATATACGAACAATATTTCGAAGACACCTATGATCAAATACTAGTAACCTACGAATATCATCTACTCTTACCGGCCATGTTTCACTGCCATAAAGTAGGACGGAACAAACTGCTGCACAGTAAACACGTCCTTTGGTTGATAGACGGATATCTCGCCTACGCCATGAATGACGCATGTTGGCAAAAGCTAGTCGAGCCTTCTGTATCCGTGCTGAGATTTCGTCACACACCAGACCACAAAGGCTGATGAGACTTCCAAGATAAGTGAAGCGATCGACACGCTCAATTACTTCACTCCCTATCATTAGTTCGAGTGTCGATGCAACCCAATCCTGAAGCAACATTTTGCATTTCGAGGGGGAGAATCGCATGCCGAACATGCTTGCATTGTTGCTTAGAGTGGTCAGAAGACTCTGCATTTTGTCAGCGTCTTCACGAAATAGAACTATATCATCAGCATATTCCAAGTCAACAAGTGAATCTCCTGGTAGAAGTTCAACCCCTGTAAATTTAGATGAGGAAAGTGTTATCTCTAAAAGTACGTCAATGACAAAGTTAAACAAGAATGAAGAGAGTGGATAGCCCTGACGAACACCACTTGAGGTAATCAATTCTGATGACAGTTCGCCATAAGCTCTCACTCGACCAGTTGTGTTCGAGTAGAGAGCCTTTACAAAGTTAATGTACTTCTTTGGTACTCCTTTCAATGACAAACACTGCCGTAGAACCTTACGATCGACAGAGTCGAATGCTGCCTTAAGGTCGAGAAATACTACTATTGTGGGGCGTCTGAATGTGTGTCTGTGTTCTAGAGCCTTGTTGGGATATTCAGGGAAATATCCCAAAAATTATCCTGTTAAGCCTAATGCTATCCTTGGACATGAAATGATATCATCTTATTGGTCAATATTTATTCAACGTGTTATTTTCCTGTTGGCCATTATTGTACAATGTTATCTTCTATTTTATGGTACGTTGTGGACTGCTTGACTGGTATATAAACAAAGTATGTTTGAAATATAATGATTCATAAATCCGAGGCTGAAACTTGTGTTCTGGACTCGACTGGCTGCGCTAGACTGGGAAGCGAGGCCAATCAGAACCCTAGGTCCTTCTACGTGTTTGTGCGTCTCTGGTCTGATCAATAATTCGCTACCCCTTAATCAGCAGCATTATTTTTCACGTTATAACAGGCCTGACGTTGTGTGAATATGTGGTCTATACAACCACGTCCAGGTCAAAAATCAGACTGATTTTCTCTAGTCTGATCTTCACGAGCTTTAGTTAGGCGTCGAAGTATTATTGAAGCTTATATTTTAGACACTATATAAGCCAAACTGATTCCCCTGTGATTGTCACAAGAGGACTTTTGTCCTTTCTTATAGACTGGCACAATCAGTGATTGAGACCAGTCAGATGGGATTAGGTCCAGTTCCCAAATTCTACCTAAGACCTCAGTTAATCTCACTGCTAATACTGAACCACCATCCTTAAAAATCTCAGGAGTGAACCTGTCAGGGCCTGCTGCTCTCCCTCGCTTCAGATTTCCTATGGCTTTTTCAACTTCGTAAAGAAACAGAGGACCTAAATCAACTTGCTATTCAGGTTGACTGGAGATCGTGGGAGATCGAAGTGTGGCTGAAGGCCAGTTGAATTGATCCCTAAAGTGTTCTGCCCATCGATCCAATCTCCTGAATTGAGAATGTATAATATGTCCATCTTTCTCTGAAATTGTTTTGCTAACAGTTGGATTCCTAATATCGGTTTCATTAACAAGTCTGAACAATTGTCTGCTATTACCTATTGCCTTTTTCATCTCTCTTGCTTTCGCTACCCACCACTGTTCACGATGATTGCGTAGAATTCCTATCAGCTTGCGCTTAAGCTGACTCCGCTCTTCATTATGTTCAGAGCCAGATGGAATGAGTTTTCGAGCATCTATCAGTGCGGTAGATGCTGCTGAGATCCAGTGTTTCTCCCTAACCTATGGTTTACCGTACTAGCAGATATCAATGCTGTTTACACAGCTTTTCGGATATAATTCCATGTTGCCTTGGAGTGGGCATCACTTACATGGCTACTTAACTGTTTTTCTAATTGTTCCTAAAATATGTTCTTAGCTTGGCTATCATTAAGTAGGACCCTAAGAGGTTTCCTTACATCGTGGTTCCCTACGTCCAGTAGTCAGTCAGTCAGCTACAACGTAGGACCAGGCACATATGTGCATCGGTCCAGGTTGCCATACCGCATCAGCACAATGAGATGAACACCGGATTCATAGCAGTGGTTAGGTCAAAGGTGGTAATATATAAGAGAAAGATTGCATATAGAGATATAGTACAAGAAGAGAGAATTGGTTCGTAGAAAGAAAGATATGAAGTGAATTTAATCTCTTAGTTTAAGGGAAGACAGGGAGTGTATACACCGACGTCATTGTGATCGACTCTGAGCCATGTCACCAAGAGTCTCCAACCATTGGTTACGAAAGTCACGCGGACCCCAACCAAGTAGTCTGTATCTACCAACATGGTTAAGACTAGAAGTTCGTGAAATCAAGCACTGATGCCACGCTTTGGTCTGGCCGCCCCTAACTTTCTTCCAACCATTCCGAACACTGGTTAGCATTGCGCGTCTTGGTAATCGGAGTTCAGGCATACGTAACACGTGGCCCAACCATCTCAGTCGGTGAAGATTCATAACCTCAACTGATTTACCATCATTCCCTAATACCCTGCGTCTAACCTTACTATTACTTACCCGGTGATCCCAGCAGATGCCAGCAATATTTCTAAGGCATCTGTGGTCAAATACTAATAACTTACGAGTGTCTTCTACTCTTAGTGGTCATATTTCGCTGCCGTAAAGTAAAACAGAACGGACTGCCGCGCAGTATACTCGTCCTTTTATTGATAGACGGATATTTCGCCTTCGCCAAAGGTGACGTAAGTTGGCAAAAGCCAAACGAGCTTTTCGAATCCGTGCTGAGATTTCGTCAGACACCAACCCATTAGGGCTGATCAGACTTCCAAGATAAGTGAAGTTGTCGACGTGTTCGACTACTTCACTCCATATTCTTAGTTCATGTGTTGACGCAGACCAGTCCTGAAGCCACAACTTGCATTTAGAGGGAGAGAAGCGCATTCCAAACATTCTGGCATTGTTGCTTAGTGCTACCAGAAGACTCTGCATTTTATCAGCGTCTTCACCAAACAGGACTATATCATCTGCGTATTCTAAGTCGATAAGTGGACCTCCTGGTAGGAGATCAATACCCGAGAATTCAGTCGACGAGAATGTTATTTATATCAATAGATCTATGATGAAGTTAAACAAGAATGGAGAAAGTGGACAGCCTTGACGGACAACACTTGAGGTTGCAAAAGTAGATGACAGTTCGCCATAATCCCTGACTCGACCAGTAGTGTTCGAGTAAAGAGCCTTTATAAGGTTTATGTACTTTTGTGGTACGCCTTTCAATGACAGACACTACCACAGAATCTCGCGGTCTACAGAGTCAAATGCTGCTTTTAAGTCAAGAAAGACCACCATTGTCGGACGCCGATAAGTATGCCTATGTTCTAGAACGTGGCGAATAGTGAATATGTGGTCGACGCAGCCACGACCAGGTCTGAAGCCAGCTTGGTTCTCTCGTGTTTGCAGTTCACGAGTCTTAGGCGTCTGATAATTATCGAGGCTAGTATTTTAGATACTATATTAGTTACACTAATCCCTCTGTGGTTGTCACAGGATGATTTTGACCCTTTCTTATATATTGGGACGATAAGTGATTGTGACCAGTCAGATGGGATAACGTCTGACTCCCAGATCTTAGCTAAAATATTAGTCAACCTAATCGCTAAAATTGGACCACCATTCTTAAAGACTTCTGGAGCCAATCCATCTGGACCAGCTGTCCTTCCTCGTTTCAGATTAACTATAGCCTTTTGAACTTCTGCTAGAGTTGGGGGACCTACTTCAATGTTCCATTCACATTGTCTGGGAATGGAGGGTAGTTGTAGAGTAGCTGAAGGCCAGTTGAACTGTTCCCTAAAGTGTTCCGCCCATCGTTCTAAACGTCTGGACTGGGAGTAGATGAGAGTATCGTCTACTGGGATCTAGTCTAAGAGAGCTAGTTCTGCCCTAGGACTCAATGCTATACCTACGCCAGCGAGGCCATGGGAAGCAGAATCGGGGCTTCCAGATACACGAAGTGTGAATCGAGTTGGTTTTTTTTATTTTGACATGGTGATGTCAAATGAATGACGCTACTCGGATCCTGCATGCGCGTTTCGGAGACGCAGCACACACTGCTGTCACACCCCTCTACAGTCAGCAGTACGACTTCGCCCTCAGACCTTGAGTTGCTGCTTTTAGCCTTACCGTTCTCCAATCGACCTGCCTGGTATGGTAGAACCTACAGGAACATATGTTCCAGCCAATATAGCTCGGTTGGGTCATCACGATAGACAAACCCGACCACCGCGTCAAGGTAGCAGCTTCGGTCGGGGAAAGACCTTATTTGTAGATGTGACCTAACTTCACTCTTGCAGTGATTATCTTTAGATATTCTTTATCTTAGTTGCTAATCCAAATTCCTTAACTAGCAAGTTCAGTCAGGCAGCTACACCGTAAGACCAGGCACATATATGCATCGGTCCAAGTTGTGGATCTAACTGCATATGACAGTCTAATAGAGTCACTGTTTCACGTAGAGAATGATCACGAGGCGGGATCGTGGATGCGCACTGCTGAGGAGCTCCACAGTGGGACGAAACGGCTGTCTAGTGCTTCCAAGTTTTCCATGGTGGTCTAGCTTCAGTTGACTGATGATCTCAACAATTAAAATTATTTTGAATCTGGGTCAGAAGATTTACAAGATGCAAAAATTGCAGCGATACAGGTCCCAAAGTGTTACTACAAAACGTCTACAGTTCCTTCGTGAAAGATCTAATAGAGGGGTAGCATATTAACCTTAAACAACCTACTATAACCCCGCTCCTCCGAACATATAAAAATTGATTGACGCTCTACACGAGGAATACAACCAGAATAAACTGGATATCAAACTGTTCGTCGCAGGAATTCAGAAGTAGCATATAAGAAAATTTAACGAGTTGGCAACACACATCAAACTGGTTGTAGAAGATCATAGATTATAGATCGATATTATGCTAGTTGTGCGATATCGCACACTATTTGAATTTACACAATTAGATAAATCAAATTGTGTCTTCAAAGTAAAATTTACGTTGGTCTATGTGCTTTTGCACGCGCCCTTATTTTAGTAAACTTGCTCAACAAATTTCGGAGTATATCAGTACGCAGCCTCTCGTTTTACACAATGGGAAATCTTCCATGTAAACATTTGTCTAGGCAAAAATATCCCTTACGTCTAATGCATATAGATCCGTCAATGGTATTTTTCATGTGTTACTATTCAGTGTATCACTGTTACCAAAATTTTTAGGCATTACTCTCAAGTTCTCATTACTTTTTTCAATCAACCGATATTTTTTGATAGTACGGCCAACCTGGAATAACTGTATATAAGAATGGGTGCTAGTTTACTTCCCATAAACCACAGGATCTGTTCTTATATAAAATTATCCTCATGCAATGTTCAAATGAAATCTTTCGTTGATATATTCAATCATGTACTGTAACACTAAACTGGTAAGCAGTATTGTCTAGCTTTCAGTGACTGTTTAATCAATATTCTTAATGGATACTTTTGTCTAAGTTACATATATTTTTGGATTGCAGAAATTTAAAATCGGTAACAAAAAAGGTTGTCTACACAATCAGCTCCTGTGGGATTCGTATGTTATCCATACCTTTGATAAGTAAGTAAAATGATCCTAGTAATGTTTTTTTATCTAGCTTATATTAACCTATAAGAACTAGTTGAATTTTTTTCAAGAATAATTATTAAGAAGTTGAATAAAGTCCTTATTAGCAACCGAACTCGAACCAAAAGCGTCTAGATTACTGACTAATAATAATACTAGCAATCCATTAACCAAGTAGCAGATGCACGTATCTGACTTTAAGTTACTTTGTGTGTGTATGAGAGAGAGAGAGAGTTAATAATTATACTCAACTTTTCAAATTAAATTGGGCAGGTGGAGTTTAAATTTGCTACTGAATATGAAATTTCAAATTCACCTAACTCACTTTAACAAGTTAAATTTGTTTTTTTGGTAATTTCATTTTTGTAAGCGTGAAATAATTTATGTGGATGCACAACTTTATTTTCTTTAGTTATATATGGATTTTATAATAAAGTGGGATTTATGGAGTATTGTTTTTACTAAGGGACAAAACAAGGTTAATAAATGGATAAGAAATAAGTGAAACTAGTACCGTACCGTCGTAATTATGACACTTCGTATGCTTAATGCCAAATGATCTTAATCCCATATTTTCAAACAGTCAACAAATAATTCTAATTCCTATTCTTTTTAGTACTACGCAGCAAACAATAAGTATACTGTACATAATTTCTATATAAGCTATACTGTGATTATGATATACAATCGTTAGTTTTGTAAGATACTCAATCATAGTTATCTTTCTAAACACATTATTCATGTTACCTATGCTGTTAACCCTTTTTATTAGTTTATCTTTCTGTACTTTATTGAGGTGTGCGTAATTATAAATCTAACCACATCTTTGTTATTACTAATGGTTTCTTTCCAAATCAGATCCAGTGAAAGTGAAAGTACCACCGTGTTAGAACTAACCAACCAACATTTCCCACCCTGTCATTTTGTTCGAGTGCGAAACTTCATCCCAGAGGTGACAGCCTCACCACTTTGATCTGTTTTCACTACTAACCCTGGTTAATCTTATCTTTACAAAAATATTTCTCAACATACAAATATTTCTATAAGTACATGCAGTTTTTTAGTGTTAACTCGTATCAATTACTCTCCTTAATGTATTTGTTTATTTTACTTACGGTTTCATTTTTGAATACTTTACTCTGATTTACTTTGTCGCTGTTCTTACTTCAACTTAAGTTCTATACATAAGTATATTTACATCATACATGTGTACATAAATGCATGTTGTTCATGATTTATGTAATATTCGACTTCTCTAACTAGTTTCATCATAGATTTTAATCCACTCGCGTTTACTGTAATGAAGGTTTATCTAAATAGATCTTACATATCTACTACAAAATAATGTCTGGCATTCACAGTTCTTTATTTAGTTGACTATTATGCATTACAAACAGCATAAAACGATAATTGTATTCTTTATACTAATGAAATCAAGACAAATGAATATCAAAAGTTTAAAATCTGAAGTAAGGCGTATTCCTCACTGTGGATCCGATTACTAAGTTATTAAATGGAGAGAAAATCTAGTTTCCCAGTCATTCTTTCAGCCTGATAATAACTCATTTCGAAATGGTTGATCTTGATTCCCACACGACCGAAGAAATTTCTCCATAAGAATACTCTCATATGATTGTGTAGTGCATCAATATTTATTACAATCCCGCTAGTCAAAAGTTGACTCTTTCATTTTGTTGACGGATGACTTGCTTTACCCACTCACTTTTTTTCTACCTGGTCAATAACTTCCTCTGAAAAATTGTTTTCAATGTAAATTTTGTTGTAGCCGTAATGAAATTATTCGTCATAGTGAGACTCGTTACATTTGATGCTTACATACTAACGTAGGTTCCAAAAGAAGTTTATTCGATTTAAATTTAGGAAACCCACCCATCACCTGTATTTTGTACCTCAGCTGGATTTAGGAAACGCGTATAATTGGTGAGAGTTTCCTTCAGTTCATTTTGGATTGATATATAGCTGTGTTTGTGTAGGTATTGCACTAATCTGCTGAGTTGAAGTTTCGTTATCTAATTCAATTTCCACTAATCGTTTGTGTTTCTTAACTGAGATAACTCACATGGAAATTTAACTGCTTTCTCCTCCTATGCTCCCGATGTGATTAAGGATATCTAACCAGCTGAGTAGTGAGTCTACTAAGTTCTTGATGATGCTGTTAATTTCAACAATCCGATTCGCTTTCAGTATGATTTATTCTACACAGACATCAACTTCCAACACGTCTGTTATTGGCTAGTCAGTTTACTCAATTTTGCATGCCATACAAAAACCAGAGTTCAGAACCAATAGCAACATTGAATAACGACCGTATGATACACAGAAAGTTTTAAGAATTCCGGAAGAAAATCAACTAATATTAGGTGCAACTTCTATCAACAGTAGAAACCTTATCATAATCTAAAGTATTATTTACATGATAACATCACATTACTGAACTAAGCTTTATACAACGCTTACAGTGTTTAGATAGTAATTTTCTATCGGACCTAACTTCCTTACCTTACGATCGTAACTAAAACTTCTGAATTATTAACGACAAACTCTCCTGATCCATCATTTTCCCAAACTAAAAAATCGAGAATCAAAAGGAAAGTACTTACTTACGCTTGTTACTCCTAAAGGAGCATAGGCCGCCAACCAGCATTCTCCAAAAAACTTTGTCGTGGGCTTTCCTTTCCAATCCTATCCAACTTTCTTTCATTTTTCTCATGTCTATCTCCATTGCCCAGCGTAATGTGTTCTTTGGTCTTCCACCTTTCCTTTAGCCTTGAGGATTCCATGTGAGGGCTTGTCTTATGATGCAGTCGGGTGCTTTTCTCAATGTGTTTCCTATCCACTTCCAGCACTTCTTCCTAATTTCTTCCTCCGCTGGAATCTACTTCGTTCTCTCCCACAGTAGGTTGTTGCTGATAGTGTCCGGCCAACGGATCCGAAGTATTTTGCGTAGATAGCTATTAATAATAAACACTTGTGTCTTCTGGATGATGGCTTTCGTAGTTCCCCAGGTTTCCGCCCCATACAGTAGAACTGTCCTGACATTTGTGTTGAAAATCCTGACCTTGGTTTTACTTGACAGTTGTTTCGAGTTCCAGGTGTTCTTCAGTTGTAAATATGCTGCTCTTGCTTTGCCGATCCGCGCCTTCACTCCTGCACCAGATCCACCGTGTTCATTAATGATGCTGCCCGAATATGCAAAGGTTTTTACATCTTCCAAATCTTCGTCAATTGTGATTGGATTGGTGCATGCCGTGTTGTATCGGAGAATTTTGCTCTTCCCTTTGTGTATATTGAGACCTACTGTTGCTGAGTCTGACGCTACACTGGTCGTATTTTCTTTCATTTGTTGTTGCCTTTGCGATAGAAGAGCCAGATCATCTGCGAAGTCTAGATCGTTCGACTGCATCCTAGATGCCCACTGTATCTCGTGCTTCCCTTCAGAAGTTGACGTTTTCATGATCCAGTCGATCACCAGGAGAAAGAGAAAGGGTGAGATTAAGCAACCTTGCCTGACACCGGTCTTTACTTCGAAAGAGTTTGTCAACTGTCTTCCATGCACAGTTTTGCAGTTTAATCCATCATAGGAATTCCGTATGATATTGACTATCTTCTCAGGTACGCCGTGGTGTCGAAGAAGCTTCCGTAGTGTTGTCCTGTCCATGCTATCAAATGCTTCCTCGTAGTCAATGAAGTTGATGTAGAGTGATGAATTCCATCCAATCGATTGTTCCACAATGATCCGTAGTGTTGCGATTCGATCTGTACACGATCGATCCTTACGGAATCCTGTCTGTTGGTCTCGAAGTTGGGCATCTACTGAGTCATTCATTCTGTTTAACAACACCCTGTTGAAGACTTTTCCTGGTGTTGAGAGAAGAGTGATGCCCCTGTAGTTATCACAGTTGCTGAGATCGCCTTTCTAAGGTATTTTGACCAGAAGTCCTTCTTTCCAGTCTCTTAATACTTGTTCTTCATCCTAAATCTTGCTGAAGAGAATGTGGAGTATCCTTGCAGTTACCGCTACGTCTGCTTTCAGTGCCTCTGTTGGAATGTTGTCTGATCCTGCTGCTTTGCCATTCTTGATCTGTCTGATGGTCATGCTGATCTCTTCAATTGTTGGTGGGTCAACATTGATTGGGTGGTCCGTGCGTGCTGCTTCGATGTTGGGTGGGTTCAGTGGGGCTGGCCGATTCAAGAGTTCTTTGAAGTGTTCTACCTACCTGTTTTGTTGTTCTTCCTTGTTGGTCAAAAAGAAAGTACTTTATGGAAATTATGCTGTTAGTTTTGGCTATCACACCATTCGTGTGAGAATGTCAATTAAGTACCAAATGACAAAGATACATTATCATGGATACATTCAAATCTCAAAAGAATCCTATAAGTGAACATATTACTTGACTAATAGGAAGTTTTGCTAGAATATACCTGGTAATGATTTAAACAAATGTATGTTTCAAGCTTTCTACTACCTATCACTGACCATTCTGTCAGAATGTATCAGCATACTGAGTAATCCAAGGTTAAAATATCCCCGAAGTATCGTAATCAAATCTTGAAAATATTTGTGAGATATACTGAACTACTGGATTCGAACACGTCGAAAAACTGCAACTTCATTGTGATCATACTACATTATTTAATTGTAATTAAGAGTAAAGATTGTGAAGGATTTAACGTAACATCTACTTAATTAAGGAACCATGAAATTCTCATAGCGCTCAACTGGTTTTGACAAAATCTACTGGTAACCCTCCCCTTAAATTTTATCATGAATAGTGAAACATCGAAAGTGATCTACTCAACAATTAACATTAATACAGTCTTGTTAATTGAAAAGTGAATAGGATCTTTGATAAGTTTAACCAGTATAACTGCTGGACTGTTGTTTTGTATCAGCTCTGTAGAGTTAAATCTGTAGAATTAATCCATGGATTCGGATTCACAAAACTTGGAGAGGGATTGGCTGTTCGATCGTAATAGTCTATGTTAAAGTATAGAAAGAAGAAAACGTAAAACATGGGTATAAAGGCAAAGTGTTTCCTTTTACAAATTCATACCTTCATCTAGTGTCTGTTGTATGCTAGCGATCGATTACTCCCTATATATGTATCCGTAAAATTTACTTAAGATCGCCAGTTAATCCTTCCATTGCATATTGTAGGAAAATAACAGGGTATAACTCACAGAATACTCAACATTACAGCGCCTAAGTTTGGTCGAATTCATAGATCTGTTTCTTGCAACATATTTCCAATTTAACATTCAGGTTAACAGATATATATATAATGGCTAATTACACCTCTACCAATAATCAAACCGAAGGCTTTAGTACATTACGTGGATGATTCATCCATTATCCCGAAGTGAGGTAGACTCCAAAATATTCATCAGTTGATTAACATCTTCGATGACATCAAATTTGCAAGAGGAGAGGGATCACAAAACAAAAGCTCGTTTTCAGATGTTCTAACCAACAGGAGGAACACAGCAGCTTTAAAAACAAGTATGCAAGAAGTAAAGCCTTACTGATCAAATAATTAACTACAACAATAATAACTCAGCACGACGCTCAGAGTTGTGTACAGACAATATTTAAAAGAGCTGAAACTGCTATTGCACTGTGACTACTCGAAGAATCTCATCCCTGCCTTTCATAACAATGGATACCTCAGAGATAACGAAAGTTCCTTAACGAGTCAGTATACTATCAAAAAAGCAATCCTGGAAACTAAGAAATAGATCGTCTGTGAAAAATGTCTCAAACCACCACAAGGATTCTGAAGCCCTTAAGAGCCAATGCCCCCCACAAATCAACCCATTCACCTCATTCCAAATTACCCAGACCGAAGGAGATACAACACCGTAAAAGATAAATTATTATCTACACAATTAACCGTACCATCTGCAGAAGAATATTACATTGAGCAAAGTGGACACTCTCTTCACCTATGCATTCAGAAAATAGACCGGCAATGGGACGACAAACGGGTTACACATGGATAGCTATGGACGTGAGCTCGATCGGCGTCACGTCGAAGTTTTAGATCAGGGAAACCCTATGAATGCTAGAGAATTTCTGGTAGCCTGACAATCGATAAACATCGACACAAATTCAATCTCAACGCAAAGAAGGGGTCAACCAAAGAAATGAAGAGAACCAATTACCAACAAATGTGTCAGAATGAAATGTTTCATAAGTAATCAAGTTGAGATTGAAGACGACTGATTACTGTGTTATGTAGATTGGAAAATAAGATTGCAGAATGCTATAGATTGGATTCCAACCTATAGGTTGAGTTGTAACATAAGTATTCCACTCAGTATCGTACTGATTAGAAGTCTCAAATTAAAATACGTCATATGTTAACACCAAAGATTTTTAAAAATGTGCCAAAAAACGATTTTAGTTATCAAAAATTTCATACTTCCCAAAGACCCTTTAGTATTTGCTGAGGGAGATGTCGAACGTTGATGTAAAAGGATATTGGTTTCGTATTTATTACTTTGACTGTTCATCAATCACTTGTTATCTGATTAATTTGAATTGGATATTATGCGTAAATAACGATGGCTTTTATTCCTTATTAATAGTCAGTTTGTTGGCTAATTGCTTTGTTTTCTCAAACCCATTTAGTTGGTGTTTAAGACGAACTACTTGAGTGCATATTATCTCATTTCGGTTATCTAAATTTCTGTACCATTGTTATCTAATAGAAGTACGATGTCATAAAAATGATAAAAACAATTGTTGAATTCAATACAGGTAACCACCTATCGTATCTTTTTGTGTGATAACTTGTGATACCATTCGGCTATCCGAATGGATTCAGATAAAGCGAGGATTCCGATCTACAACTATTAGTCACTATGTAATTTCGAGAAAAAATGACAATAATCTATAACAAGTGAAATGGAATCTACCTATTAGTTTTCCATCAGAATATCCATGTGAATAGTGTGAAGCGGATTTCTTACAACCAATCGATTTTAACCAATGGTCATAGGCTACAGTTGAAGCTTCTTTACGAGTTTGATTAGCTATGTGTTTTTTGAATTCAATTTGTCTGATATAATCGATTTTCTTATACTCTTCTTCAGTTTTCTTTTTACACCACTCTTGATATTTCAATTTGGATTTCTGTGTCTGAGTTAAGACAAAACAGAAACGAAGTCCTTTCAAAATACTACTTAAGACGCGTAATTAGTAAAATGTGAACAAATAGGATCTTTGAATAATTGTAAGATTAATATGGCCACAAATTTGACTTGGAATTTAGTTCTCCCTAACACCTTAAGGCAACTAAAATGACGCTAATACATATTGATTTTTCATTAACAAATTATCCTACGGAATTTTCAAGAAACCATGGCAGGAGAGCGTTTCATTTACACAACGATCCTTTTGTACGTCAGAAAACAAATGAATAGAAATAATATCATGTTAGTGATAAATCCAAGCAGTTCATCTTTCTACAACTATTATACAAACCACCACACTTATCGTAAATGAATGTTATACAGATCTGTGACTAGAAAAATTATCGGTAAATTAAAAGAATGGGATGACTCCATTCAAAAGTATCATTTTGTAGTTTACATCACGCAGTCTTGGGTAACCGCAAAGCACTGGACAGCTTTTACGCCCTAGTGTGGAACTTCCCAATAGTGCACAGCCGCAACTCCACCGAGGATTGAATCAAAGACCTCTGAGTCTCCCACCAACCTCTTAACTTCCAGACCACTGAACCGGCATTCAGTGGTTTACTTGTCTAGCTTCAATTAATCCTCGGTATTTGCGACCGTGGCCATTGATACTGGTTGTCTCATGCCCGATACGATTGAACTCTACTAGTCATATCTTCTCTCTAGAACTCTAGGGATTATCACTCTAAACTAATCACCAGCAAGCGTATGATGGTTTTCAATAACTGTCTCAATAAAATCTGTCAATGATGTAAACTTTGAAATTCAACTTTCTTCATAACCTACAATAAGTATTGTTTTGATAAAACTAAAGTGAACTTTGTGCTTTTGCTATTTCGGTTTTCAGATTCATTGTTAAATTAAACTTTAGTTGGAGTAAATTTAGCAGACCAAGCTCAACACCTTATATCAATATCACCATCATCACAGTGAGAAAAAATTCCCAAATTTATGTAGAAGGTAATCATATGGTTACTATTAACTAATGTTGATAAGAATATCCGTAGTATCGTTGAGAAGCAATAACTGATAGATGCAACCTTTTAGGTAGTGAGACAGATATTGTCAGTCGTAGTGGATAGTATACCAGGAGATATTGACCGATCAAATCAGTCTTGCAAAGTCATAACAAGAAAACTCGAGTTATAGTGACAAGTTTGTTGAATTGGTAATACTCAGCAGAGTCAAGATAGATTTGAGAAAACTGGGTTCAAATACTGGGAACCGTCCACCTTGTTATTTAATCCATAATTTTGAGAATCTGAACGGTACAGAAGCATTTAAGATTGATGAGTGAACAGTCTTTGGTGTAATGATTTGTTTAGATTTTTCATTGTTAATGTTCTTCAATCACGGTGATTTACACAACATGAAGTCCTATCCCAAAACCATTACATCTTTTAATGGTGATGGGAAATATGTATTAAACAGTTCTTATTTTTACTTTATATACATCCATAACCTGATCAATAGTGTGGGAGGCTATTAGTTACTAAACTCTTGACTCATGAATATTCATGACCTTTGATTCTTAATTAGTACGATATTTTTCATAACGGACTCACGCCAGCTGTAAAAATAGCCAAAATCCTATGGGTATTTGTCAACTGTTTTCCATTATTTTGAGACTCGTCAACACACCCTGCCTACAAAAATACTTCTTTACTCACACCTGTTACACCTCGCGAAGGAGCATAGGCTGCCCACTAGCGCTCTCCATCCAACCCTGTCTTGGGCAATCCTTCCCAGTTGTTATTCATCCTTTTCATGTCTGCTTCCGTTCCCCGACATAGTGTGTTCTTCGGCCTTCCTCTTTCCCGCTTCCCTTCAGGATTCCAAGTTACGGCTTGCCTCGTGATGCAGTTTGATGATTTGCGTAATGTATGTCTTATCCATTTTCCATCGTCTTTCCCTGTTTTTTTCTTCAGCTGGAAGCTGGTTTGTTCTTTCCCATAGTAGGCTGATGCTGATGGTATCCCGCCAACGGACATTCAGTATCTTGCGTATACAGCCATTTATAAATACTTTTACCATTTTGATGATGGTTGTTTCATATCTCCTTCTCTTTCAGCTTGTTCCGCCGTCGTTGCTAGTTCTTCCACGTACTTCTGCTTGTCGGCTTTAATGCTCTTCTTCACTTACTTGTTTGCTTCTGTGTACGTAGCTTGTGTCTTGACTTTCTCTGCTCGTGTTCGGCTGTTGTCAATTGCTGTCTTCTTGTTCTTCCTTTCTTGAATCTTTTCCAGGGTTTCCATAGAGATCCATTCCTTATAGTGATGCTTCTTGCTGCCCAGAACCTCCTGACACGTTGAAGTTAATGCTTCTTTGATACCTTTCCACTTGCCCTCCATAGTAGTTTCTTCTTCCTTCAGTATATCTTGTGAGGCTTGGAACCTGTTATTGAGAGCTATATTGAATTCATTGAGTTTGTCAGTATCTCGAAGGAAGGCTGTATTGAACCTTTGCAATGCTGTTTTGCTAGTTGTCCAGCGTTTCTTTAGCTTCAGTTTCATCTTGGCAATCACCAGGTGGTGATCTGGAGTCATGTCAGCTCCTCCCTTGGTTCTCGCTTCTTCCATTGACCTCCTAAATTTCTTGTTGATGCAAATATGGACAATCTGGTCCTTCGTACTGTAATTCGGTCAGACTCATATAGCTTTGTGCAAGTTTGTAGGGTAATATTCTGCCGCCTATAATCAATTTGTTGAATGCACATAAATTTGCAAATCTGTCACCAATCTCGTTCCTTTCTCCCGGGCCATGTCGTCCCATGAAATCTCTATACTTGATATTGTCCATTCCGACTTTTGAGTTTGAATCTCTCATCAGGACGGTCAGGGCCTTTCCTTAGCACTTCGTTATGATTGATTACAGCCTCTCATAAAACTGGTCTTTATCGTCGTCATCGCTATCATTGGTGGGTGCATAACACAGGATGACATTCATTGTGATTTTCTCATTCTTTGTTTTGAAGGCTGCTTTGATTATCCTGAATCTATGAGATTTCCATCTTATGAGTGCACTACATGCTTCTTTGTACATCATCAGAGTAACTCCCTGAGTGTGTGGAGCATGTTCTTCTTCGTGACCAGAGTACAGCAGCATCTCTCCCGAACCTATCCTTTTCTATCCAACTTTGGTCCAGTGGACTTCACTGACTCAGAGCACTGCCAAATTGTAACTGCTCATTTCCGTAACTATTTGATTGGTCCTCTCGGTCTCCCACAGTGTCAGGATATTTCATGTGCCTATATTAATTGTTACTCTGGTTGTTAGAAGTGGCATCAGTCTCGTAACTTCCGAAGAATCTCGGCCTTCCTCCTGAGGCGTCATGATTTTCCCTTCAACTCCCAGGGCAGAGTTTAAATGGTTAAATTTGTTTAATCTGGTTGGCGTTTCTTGGCAAGATTTTCTTCTACGGGATGAGGTTGCCGACCCCATGCCCAACTCTCCTCTTTTACCCGGGCTTGAGAACGGCAGTATATCTTGGAGAGCTACAGGCCGAGTTACCTACAAATATATACATAGTTAGACCTACGACGTTCAGATCTCTTCACAGGTAAAGCATCATTAAATAAAAATCAAACTAAGTCAATTTACAATAAAATGTGGTCTATATCCAATATCACTGGTGGGTAGTTGCTTCTGTTCTGTCTTCGTTGATCAAAGTACATCCTACTTCAGGTTATGTGTATGAATTATAGTATAAAGTGGTATATTCCTAACATATATATCAAAAGATCACGTTTTATAATTGATCGGTCCAGTACTGAAGAATGAAACGCGAATAACTTGCACTTGTTTTACAAAAATACAGACTGGATTAAAAGTCTGTACAGTTAACTCACAGAATTATTTAATATACTTCATACATATATCAATTTCATTAAATTGTTAATCCAAAATCACTAAGATAATAATTAGTTGATGAAGCAAAATATATTCCTGTTCAAAGACAGTATTAACAAGATCACTAGTCAGCATTTTGAATCTATATGTTAAAAAGGATGAGTAAAAGCTATAACTTACGTGTTCAAGTAATTCTTGTAATTTTTTTGATTCTTCATTTTTCTTCTCTATCTCTCGAAGTTTTTTAATTTGTATTCTTTCTTTTTGTTTTGCTTCAGTCCATTCTTTACATTTTTGTTCAACTAACCTTCTACGATTTATTTTTTGCACCAATAACTGATTCCTCTTTTGAATTTCTTCAATCTTTAAAACGTTCAAAATTAATTATGATTGTTGTTATAAAATAAAAACAACTAACAAATGTATTCAAAAAATTATACCATTTTTGAGATATCCCAATGAGTAGAAATTTGTACTTCTGGAGTTTCGTGACTTGACGTAAGTCACTTGTTCAGAGTAAATAAATAACCGAAATAGATTAACACAAGTCTAATTAGTATAAGGAAAACAAAGCAGAACATTTAATGCAATTGGTCCCTCTTATAACATTTAACAGAACAGTGAAAAAAAAAACAGAATTAACCTGAAAAGTGTGATGTGTTCGCGTTGCATATTTCGAGCAATCTGGTCACACATATTTGCCGAGGCATTTTATGCGAAAACTGATAAAGGTCAGATTCATAGAAGTTTTGACTATTCTCAGATCCAAACCCCCTTATATGTACAGAAACAATTTGCCGTGGTAATCTTTGAGTCGTTTGCATGGTGTAGGGTAGTGCAACAATTTCCTATTCTTTCCATACTATGTTTATTTTCTCCTTTATCTACAGATATCACTTTATTTATCTGAACTTTCAATGTTCTATCTTATTACGGTCTCATTTTAAACTATGGTTAAAAAGGCATCAACATACTAATGTCCTGAATATAGCAACGTAGTTATACCTTAGTTGCTAAGGGAAAGACTTTATATTGCGTCATTCGAGTTAGGGATCTGTTGATTAACGCATCCTAGAAAAAAATCTAAAATGTCCTAGTTCAAGAACAGCAGGTTGTACCTTAGAATATAGGATCGTAGTAATGACTACTACAGCACACCTTTAGTCAAGAGTTCTATCCCACCTTTTGGGTCCACTATATTTTATTTGTAACTAAATATCTCATTAAGAATCACTTAGCTACTTACAAAACACGATTTTCTGAAAAATGTAATTTTAAAATGTTTCGTTTGTCTGGGACCTCAGAAGCATCCATAAACCAGACGTCTAGTGCTCCTTGATTTCTTTCAGTGATTCTCCTTTTAACATTCATTAGTGGTAAGACCTACTCTTTTCAAATAAATTAGAACTTGAAAAAATGAAATGTTCAATATAATCTGTAGATTTTAAGTGCTTAATTACATGATTAGTTTGCCCTAAGTCATACAGCTTGTGAAGTCAAAGCCATTTTCCATTTCAGCTAATCATCATCACTAGCAATAATTTTCCCCATAGAAATAATGTACAGTACATTCTTACCTGTTTCTTTTTTGACTCTCTTTTTTGTTCTCGTCTTTGTTTTTCTTTCTCTAACAACCAACATCCCCATGCCGACAGTTTATCATTCGAATTGTGTAGACATTTAGCGTTATTCACCACATCACTTTTTGAGCTTATAGTTACGTTATGGTCGTTTTTAGAGATCACAGGTTTGATCAATAAATGATCTCGAACACATTCACTGATCAAGCATTCTGTTATATCATACAAATCTGAGGTAGGTGAACCCCCACTATGAGGTGAAACTTTAGATGATGATCGATTATATGTTTGTTCATTACTAGTACTATCGGTAGTAGTAAATTGCTTGGTTGATACTTTTCTTCTTAGATTAACAGTATGGTCATCTGTGTCTAACACAGTTTTGTTTTGTTTCCTTGTGCTTCTGAAAAGATTTCGAGTATTTTAAAAATATCTGAACAGTTTATAGTTTAAAACTCAATAACAACAAAGTTCTGTTAAACATACCGCTCCTTATTTCAGTCAAGATGATAATTTCGAAGAAAGCCCCTTGCTCTATAAAGTTTATTCCAACCAGAGTATGAAATCTCCGAGTCGTAGGATATTTTTCTCTGAATGCACTAGTCAGTGTGAGTGTAATACACTTCTTGATTATATGATAGCATATTTTGTGTACATAATTCATGTCTTAATTTTATTCTGAAGACATCAGAAGTAGGCAACTTCTACCCAAATGAATAAGCTAATTTATTTTTTAAGAGACTAATCATTCAGTTAAGACCTCTGCATTATTTTATGGTTATATAAGATCAAGACTAAGCTTAAGCGGTCGGTCTTCGGAGCAAGCGGTTTGCTGCTCTTCTATTCCTTACTTAGTCTATGTGTATAAAATGCTTGTTTGTTCAGATAAATAATTTGTGTGAATATTTCTCCTTTGAGTTACGTCTTCCAGAATACCATTGAAAACCATAGATCACTGGAATTCTGTTTCTTTGCTGGTTAGGGATATTCAACAGCCCACATTTACAACCTCTAAAACTTTGGAGCGAGCACACCATTGCTAGATTTCAATCTCACTCCATAAGTCCCCAATCTCAGTTGCATATAAAGCAATCATCGACAAATGCCCCCGGTCACTAACTATCTCTCTCCTAGCATAGTTGAATCCATATTTAACTGATTAACACTAGTGAATATTATTTTTATTGGCTATTTAACAAAATACTAAAATTAATAAAGTGGTTAAAATCGTAATTCCCGATAACCGAATATACTTCAGAAGACAGAACACCTAGACGACTGACTGAATGTGTAACAGAAACAAACCCAATATTTGTGTAAATAATTTTTAATTAAGATGGTATAATTCACCAGATAACAAATGACAAACTTACAATAAAAAAATGTAGGTGATAAATCAACCAATTTTCACTTTATCAAATATATTTTGCTTTAACAGAAAATATCAATATAAAACTATTGATTTTCGTGTCAGTTGAATAAATAATCTTAGTTGCCCAAAAGTAGAAAATACCCACAATAGTACTCTTGCTGATTGTCGAATCCACCCCTTTCCAACAGAATTTCAACCAATGGAAAATCAAAATAAACAAATCGGGAGACTTTGAATGACCGCATCTTTCTCAACACGAGAATCGGATTCACTATCTGATAAACGTTCCATGATAAGTCAGGTTTTATTTGTTATTAGTTTAAAAGGGTTTTCAATCTTTGTACTCGTAAATATTTATGAGTGAAGCGATCAATCTCTGTTAAAATATGGGCTGTCGAACAAACGTTTCGATATCATCTCTACTTATAATTTAACTATATCGTGGAAAGTAATCTGCAGTAGAATCCAGAACACATATTTAGAATAGGTCAGCTGCATAAAACCAGATTCTAGTGCTGGTGTTCCAAATAAAACATAAATTGTTCGGATACAGCCACATTTATCTGACGTTTTTTAAATGTAATGAATCCCTCCTTCTGGACGTCACTGCTAAAGACTATTCAAAATATATAGGAAAAATGATTTCGAATTCCCAAGTTTTAGACGACTAATCAATAATTACAAGATTAGACATCCATCAAGGTAATGGTAGTAATGGAGTGAACAAGAACACAAGTGGGGACAATTGAATGTATTTGAATACAAAAATGTTAGAACTACACAATATATGCTTCATTTGCAAAATGTCAATCAGTTGTCTCATACTTAATTTTTACTTCGTTTCCACACTAGTCATTTTCTGTTCTCGTTCTCTTCTCTTCGATCTTATTAACCTTCTCTCTCCAAGCAGTCCACTTTCAATTGACGGTACATACTACTTATATCTGTCGACATCAGTAAGTCAGCAAACATAGAACAAACTACATACTAGAAACTGTGATTCTCTTGTTATGATCCTCAGAGAATAAGACTGAACATACTTATCCCATTGCACCGGCATAGCATAGCAAAGTATTCTCTACCAATCGAGTCAGTTTAAAGAACAATGTAAAAAAAACTACCGCTAAAGACAATCAGTCAGATTCAAGGTTTTCCTGCTTAGCTCGAAATGTTACTTTGGTGACGTAAGCACTTACACTATAAAGTTAGGCCAAAGCAACTTAACTCATTTTGCAAGAATGATACATATCAGTAAGTATTTATGAATATCACAAACTTTAAATAAATTATACCCTCTTATCCTAATTCATAAAAACCCAGTTAATCAGGAATTAAAAATGAATTGTGAACCGATAATTTAGTTGAATTCGGAAATAATACATTCTTATACAGTTACTACAAGTATAAATGACCTCAACATTCTCGGAAATCGGGTAACTAATCGATTATAATAAAGCCAGTGGGTAAGATCTTTGAAGCAGTAAAACTGAAAAAAATTTCTTAAGAATAATCATAGTTTTTTTAGTGACATCATGCTATTTTGAAGTAATAGAGTGAAAAGTTTGAAAAGCCTTCCTAAACTTACCTGGTCTTACATTTTTCGGGTTTTGATATACGAGAAATGAAACAGATGGAACATAGACACTCATACCGCCTAGAAAGAATATTACGGCCTTTCCCATCCTACATGGAAGAAAGAACAGATAATGAATACATGTGCTAACCATCCTAAGTAAATTGGCAAACTCTGTTTTTAAACCAGAAATTACGTTACTTGTCTATTCACAAAGTAATATGAGGACTTATGACGTTGGATACTACTAAAACCGAAATTGCACAAATTCGCTATCATTAAAGATACCATTTAAATTGCATCCATCAATCCGTGAATATAATGTAAAAAGTTTTGGCTCTACATTTCATGATCCTAGCTACCAACAAATAGGGAGTGATAAGAATTATTGATGAATACCGACAAACATGTGAAAATTAGATTTATGATTCATTAGTCTTAAATTTAGGAAATTAATAATTTTATGACAATAAGTCTACAAGAAATTCGTATAAAATTCAAGCAAGGCTACTTATCATTTCCTAGATTACTTCTATAATTTTTAATTTATTCTGTACAATCACCGACCATATATGAAGCTGTGAACGGACTTTAAAAAATCCATGTATATTGATTTATCGGCGGTTATACCGCTGATCAATTTGGAAGAATAATCAAGACTCCACGATATATGTTGGTGGATTGGATGAAAAAGTTAACGAATCGATCCTTTGGGAACTTTTCTGAGCAGCCTTGTCTGACATCGGTCTTCACTTGGAATACATCAATTAGATGTCCTCTATGCACGACTTTTCAGTATAGTCCATCGCACGAATACCCTATGGTGTTAATGATCTTCTCAGGTATACTATAGTGTCTAAGACGTTTCCATAATGTTCTCCTGTCCATATTGTCAAACGTCTTCTCATAGTCAATGAAGTTGATGTATAGTGACGAGTTCCACTCAACTGATTGTTCAACGACCATCCGTAGTGTCGCAATTTGGTCTGTGCACGACCGATCCTTACGAAATCCAGCTTGTTGATCTCGAATTTGGGCGTCTACGTAGTTTTTCGTCCGGTTCAGCAACACTCTGTTGAAAACATTTCCTGATACTGACACAGTAGTGTAATGTAGTTCTCACATTTGTTCAGATCTCTTTTTTTTGGTATCGTGATGAGGTGTTCTTCTTTCCAGTCCGTCGGCACTTGTTCTTCCGCCCAAGTTTTCTTAAATAGAAGGTGAAGCCTACTTGTAGTTACTTCCATGTCTGACTTTAGTGCTTCAGCTGGTATGTTGTCAGGTCCTGCTGCTTTCCCACTCTTGATTTTTCTAATGGCCATCCTGATTTCTCCGATCAATGGTGGGGTGAAATCTATAGGAAGGTTTGTAGGTGCTACTTCGATGTCCGGTAGATTCAATGGAGCTGGTCTATTTAACAGTTCCTCGAAGTATTCTACATATCTATTCCTCTGTTATTGGACTTCAGTGACTGGCCTGCCTTCTTTGTCCTTGTCCGATCTCTCAGGTTTACGATATTTCCCTGCTAATTTCTTCATTGTTCCATATCTCCTTCTCTTTCAGCTTGTTCCGCCGTCATTGCTAGTTCTTCCACGTACTTCTGCTTGTCGGCTTTAATGCTCTTCTTCACTTACTTGTTTGCTTCTGTGTACGCAGCTTGTGTCTTGCTGAAGAGAATGTGGAGTATCCTTGCAGTTACCGCTACGTCTGCTTCCAGTGCCTCTGTTGGAATGTTGTCTGATCCTGCTGCTTTGCCATTCTTGATCTGTCTGATGGTCATGCTGATCTCTTCAATTGTTGGTGGGTCAACATTGATTGGGTGGTCCGTGCGTGCTGCTTCGATATTGGGTGGGTTCAGTGGGGCTGGTCGATTCAAGAGTTCTTTGAAGTGTTCTACCCACCTGTTTCGCTGTTCTTCGATGTTGGTGATTACGTTACCCTCTTTTTTTCCACTGGTCGTTCTGGTTTACGGTAATTTCCAGATAGTTTCTTTGTTGTGTCACACAGTTGTCTCATTTTTCCTTCTCTTGCAGCCTTTTCCACCGTCGTTGCTAAATCTTCCACATATTTACGTTTGTCGGTTCTGGTGCTCCTTTTCACTGGCTTGTTTACTTCTGTGTATTCAGATTGTGCCTTGGCTTTTTCTGCTCTTGTTCGGCTGTTATTGATTGCTGCTTTCTTGTTCCTCCTTTCTTAAATCCTATCCAGTGTATCAACAGTGATCCATTCCTTGTGGTGGTGCTTCTTGTGGCCCATAACCTCATGACATGCTGAAGTGATTGCCTCTTTGATCCTCCTCCAGTTGCTCTTCATAGTAGTTCCCTCTCCATTGAGTAGATCGTGAAAGGCCTGGAACCTATTACTGAGGGCTATCTTGAATTCACTGAGTTTGTCAGTATCCCGAAGAAAGGCCGTATTAAACTTTTGTGCTGTTGTCCTCCCCATTGTCCGGTGCTTCTTGAGCTTCAATTTCATCTTGGCGACCAGCAAGTGATGATCTGATGCTATATCAGCTCCTCTCTTAGTTCTCACATCCTCCATTGTCCTCCTGAACTTATTGTTGATGAAGATATGGTCGATTTGGTTTTGCGTAGTGTGATCCGGTGAAGTCTATGTGGTTTTGTGAATGCGTTTATGTGGGAATATAGTGCCGCCTATTACCAGTTTATTGAAGGCATATAGGTTTGCAAATCTCTCACCATCTTCGTCCCTTTCTCTCAGTCCGTGTCGTCCCATGATGTCTTCATATCCGGTGTTGTCCATTCCAACCTTGGCATTTAAATCTATCACCAGAATGTTCAGGTCTTTTGTTGGGTACTTCTCGACGATTGACTGCACCCTATTGTAGAATTGATCTTTAGCGTCTTCATTGTAGTCGTCGGTAGGCGCATAGCATTGGATGACGTTCATTGAAATGAATAACAAAAAGATCTAATCACTAACTTTCCTAATACTATGTAGTTTCAAAAATTAAGTTACCTGACAATCAATAATAATGCGTATAGAGAATCCATCTAGAGGAGTTATAAAACTCTGATTCCAAACCAATGGGGCATATGGGTCCCAGAATCCCGAGGGGACAAATGGCGTATGAACCTGTTGCTAGGCATCGGCTACCATAGGACTTTATCTCTTAACGTTGTTCCACTGCCTTGTGGATTAAACATTTAAATCAAAGGCTGGGTGAGTGGCCTAGTCAGGTATGCTGAGTAATATACCAACAGGCCTCTTAAGAAAACCACCCGGGCAGTATTCCATCCAATGATGATCGTGTTGTTGTATCGTGAGTGTATTGACCGAATTCGGGCAAAATAAAATCGTTCAGTATTTTCTGACTTTTAGTTACCGTTAAAAATAAGCCAATCAATAATTTAGAGTACAACAAATCAGGACAATTCAGTCGTGAAATCTTTTTTTCTTGTTTGTTTCTTGAGATAACAACAAAATCTTGTGTATGTGGGGCATTTTCTTCTTCATGGCCGGAGTATAACAGAAGCTCCTTTGAAGCTAGTCGTTGTTGTCCAACTTTCGTCCAATGTGTTTCACTGATGCCAAGCACCTCTAGGTTGTATCTCCTCATTTCTGCAGCAATTGGGAAGACTCTCCCGGTCTCCCAAATTGTACGAGCACTTCATGTACCTAAATTAATGGTTGCTCTGGTTGTCAGAAGGGGCATCAGCCTCGTGGCTTCCGAAGGAATTCGGCTTTTACCATGTGGCGTCATAATTCTTCTAAATGAAGAGCTTCTGATTCTCAGGGCAGAGTTTAATTGGTTTGAATAATTTTTTTTGGTTAGCGTTTTTTAGCGAATTAGTTTTCTACGGGATTGGGTCACTAACCCCACGCCCAACCCTCCTTCTTTATCCGGGCTTGGGATCGGCAGTAGCCCCGGAGGGTCTCCAGGCGGAGTTTCCATAAATTATAGTCTCGCCGAAAATGTTTCAGAAGAACCAAACACTGATGACCTCTTATCAACTGTCACTGATCCTCACCATCTAGTCAGTTTTATTGGATTTTCTATTCATTGCGAGAAATCTGTTTTAAATAAAGTCACATTAATTGTAACTTGTGGTTATGAGGATCCAATATTATTTCGTGAGGGAGGATAAAGTCAGAAAATTTAAAGTCAGGATTTGAACTTCGAATATTCGGAAAATGTGTTATATCCGAATGAGTATTATGAATGGTAACTTTTGAGAACTATTTATGGGCAAATATTATACATATATTCTTAATGTATAAATATTCAGTAGCTAGATTATGTATATCTTACTCCTCTTATTACAAGCTTTATTTTGATCTATAAACCATTATTATATTATTTACCGTTCTTGAGTTATGCCCAATCTATCAATTGCAGTCTTCCACATGCACAGCCACTCTTGGCTAAATTTTGCACAAATGTTATTTTCTATTTTATGGTACGATGTTGTCTGTTTGGTTTGTATATAAACCCAGTATGCTTGAAATACATGATTCATATCGCGGAGACTAGGATTGGTGTTCTGGACTGAACAGGCAGGGCTAGGCAGGAAGAAGGACCGATAAGGACTCTAGACTGCTCGTACGGGTTTATGCGTAATTGGTCCGGTCGATATGTCACTGTTCTCTAATTGGCGGTATCATTACGTTATATATTAATAGGGCACAAGACCACAAGTTATAACATAGATTATCACTTAAAATTTGGAAGTAAAATCAATCATTATTTATTGTCCCAATAACGTTGTGTAATATTTTAAAAGATGAATGGTGGCTAGCAGTGGGATCCAAGATGAACATCCTATCTTGTTTGAGATTCGTCAACTGGATGTACATGAATTCCAGAGTTGGTGTTAACTCCGGGGCTGAGACCCAGTACCATTCGCTTCAATCGCCATCACGTTATCCACCTAGTTATTGTGTTCAGATAGCCACTGGCCCGGGTATGTATTGGTTGTTTGGATCTTCTCATTGATGTTTGGGGCTGCAACTGAGACTCCAAAAGAGACTGACGAACTGCAGTCTTAAACATCGACGGGAAGATCCAAACAACAAATATATGTGAGTTAAAATTGTACAAGATTTTCCCATAATGCTTAAAAAGCACTTAAACTGTAAGGTAAAAACCACTGAACCATTAAAAAGCAGGAATAATACATTGGTAATATGTTGATCTGTAAATATTTGAGACATGCTCACTAACTGAAGCTCTATGCAGTTGACATTCGTTTCAATACGACGCATATTAGATCATCTTGATGCAGTCTTGTATTTGTTTAACTACAATGCAATTGTTCAATATTCTGTTACTAGTGTTACTTTTATTTACTGTCAGTCTCAATAGGAGTTCAACTCCATTAAAAATAGACCCAATCTTGGTGCTAATATATTTCTACTGTTATTTCACTCAAGGCGTGTCAATTCAATCCCATTGATTGTTTGTTACTACTGTATATGCTAGTTTATCCAATGATTTAAATATACATTAAGGAACATGATTATTCTAGCTCTTACTCAGTTCGTTTGTCCTCGGTCATTAAAATACCATTAAGATGTCTTCTAATTTCAATAACGAGATTATGATTTACAGACGACGTTTGAGCGGTCTCAAAGTGGCCTTGAAGAACCTTAACCAATTTCTGTGGTCGAAATAGGGTTATAAATTAATATGGGGAACTAATATCAGAAGTTTGAGTTAGAACTTAGTGTTACAAATTAGAGCCGGGACTTTCATTACATCAGCTATCATGTCGAAATTTTCGTTGTTCGTATTTATGGATAAATCTCGTTCCAAAATCCAAGACTCGTTATCTTATGTCTAATTAGCCCGTCCATAAATTACAGTCCTTTACCTTAATCTCAACAACTGAAGTGTTGTTATACATATAATTTTAATCTCTTGAGGAGGACCCAAAAAGTAATGGTTGAGAATAATAAGTATTCAGCCATATCGTATACTTTTTTTATCATTTGCGATACGATTTTAGAACTGATCCATGGGAAATGAACAGAAAGATGTCTGAGCCTGTACAACAGAAAACCAAGTGGAGCTAGACACTAGTTTTATGTGTAACCAATAAAACCATGTTTCATTAGATACAAACAATTAATTTGAGGTTTAACAGACAATACAGCAAAGATAGTATGTATTTTTCTACTTTGGGTTTTTCACTATTACACAGGCAAAACGTGAGCTCAGATTCCTTACACACACACGATCTAAAGAACCTGTGTGAAAACATCAAATAGATGTAGATGTAGGCAAAAAATAGCTCTGTCGCTGCTTGAGAATATTTGAAGTACTTCTTTGTGACTTACAGACACAAAGTTACAGGACCCAGATCTTCGTTTTTCACTGTCATCTGTGTTTTTTTCATAAAATACTGGAGTACGTTTCAGTGATGCTGTCCTTTCAAAACGATTTCTAGCCAAGTTAGAACGTGAGCTTGGACAACGAGATAATAGTACATTACTAACTCCAGAACATTCCTTCCGTGTTATAAGCTTTGATTTGTGATCATCACTATCTCGAATCGTTCTTTGCTGTGTATCACAGGGTATTTGACAACTAAAATGTGTCTCATGACTGTAACGGTTACCATTTGCAACATAGTTACCTTAGAAGTGATGAATACTGATTACTGTCATCTGAAAAAGAATAATCACTTTGATCAGAGTATTTATCCAAAGCAGATTGTGCGAGTAATTCTGTACTAAAGCTCTCAGAAGGACCAGGCGATTCACTAGTAAATACAAACCCCGAATTTCGATCAGAAAACGTGGTTCCCTCCAATAAACATGAATATTTCTTCATGATATGGTATTGTTATACTTTTTGAAAATCAGATTATGTTTCAGTCTCAGTTTGAAAAGGATAGGAGGTTAGGCGGCCTGTGTTGGTCCTGGCAATGATGGTCTCTCAGTTGATCCACCTTTCTTTTGAAAGAGTCGACAGATGGAACTTCGACCACATGCTGAAGTAACGAATTCCACTCGTTGATGATTCGATGGGAAAGTCGATAGTCAGCTGACAAGTAATTTGTTCTGGGTTTGTGAACTTTTTTGGAGTGTCCTCGTAAATCCTCTGTTTTGAAAGACAAGAAAAATGAAGACGTATCAGATGTAAACTTATCATTAAATAAATCGAAAACTGTAATCAAGTCACCTCTAGTTCATCGATATGACAATGGTAAAACGTTTAGTTTAGCCAGTCGAGCATCATACGGAATCTTCGCTATCCCAGAAATCAGTTTAGTTGTTATTCTCTGAACCTTCTCCAAAAGCTCACTGTCTTTCTTAAGCAGAGGCTAGCCGCTTGTATGCAGTACTCAATTTTAGAATGCACGAACACTGTATACAAAGTCAAAAACACTTTAGTGTCGACATGGTTATAGGCCCTACATATTGACCAAAAGGTTCTAAAGCCTTTGGCGGCTATCGCAAGGCGATGTGCAGCAGTTTTTAAATCTTGGCTAACGATGACTCCTAAGCCGTTGTGTGTCTGGACAACAGGTAGTTCGATGTTATTCACCATGTATGTCAGTAACAACGTAGAAATTCGTACATACGTACATCAGTTCGAGTTGCCATACCACATTCGCACAGAGATACAGTAATCGGAAAGATTAGGGTTTGAAGATGTTATCGAAAGAGTATAATCCAGTGAAATAAATTTGGAAAGAGAAAAAAAGACAACGAGAATCCAGAAGATTAGAATTTGGGAGAACACAAAGAATGGATGCACCTGCTCACACCATTGCAAGCGATTTTGAGACATGTCATTCAGGGTCTCTAACCATCGGTTGCTATCATCTCGCGGTCCCCAAACAGGTAGTCTACACCTACCAACATGACTCAGTCCACTTGTCAGTGACTTCATGGGTTTGTAACGTGTTTTGGTATGGCCGCCCCTAAATTTCTTCCAACCTACTACTACACCATAAAATATTGCATGTCGGGGCAGTAGGTGGTTGGGCATACGTAACACTTGTCCCAGGCATCTCAACTGATGAAGTTTCACTACGTCATCAATCGATTTGCCATCCTTACCTAGTACCCGTTTCCTAACAACTGTATTACTTACCCGGTGGTCCCAGGATGTACCGAGTAAGTATGTATCTGTACCTTGACGACCAATATGCATCACAATGCACTTGGAAGTATTTACCAGCAACTGCCAAGTCTGAGACCATTCAGATAATTTATCCAGGTCATTTTGAAGCTCTAAGCTAACAAATTTACTTTTTATCGCCCTCCATATCTTGACGTCGTCAGCATATAGCAAGGCCGATCATAAGAGACGAGGAAGGTCATTTACATACAAGAAAAACTATACTGGCCCAAAAACTGTATTTTGAGGCACTCCGCTAGACAACTTTGAGTTCACTCGTACTCTTTGTTGGTTCCAAACCAGGAAGTCTTTATTCGAAATTAATAGATTGCCTCCAACCCTAACATTTCTTAGCTTATATAACAGTCGGTTGTGAGGGACTTTGCCAAAAGCTCTGCCGAAATCAATGTACACTACGTATATAGATAACTTTTGGTCTTTAAGAGCGCACCAGCTTCCACAAGTCACTAATAAGTTAGAGACAGGAATAACCTATTCTAAAGGCATGCCGCTTTTCCGAAAGGATCCGATTTTCATCAAGATACGTAAACATCTTCCGCATAATCTTTTCTAAAATTTTAACAACCACGCTGGTTATAATAACGGGCCGGTATTTTTCAGTTTTATGTTTTATGCCTGTTTTGAAGACAGGACTTACTACGGCGTCCTCCCAGTCTTTTGGTTAACGACCCTGAGTTACTGATAGATAAAAACACATGCTTAAGGGGTTCGCAACGAAATTAGCTGGTTTCTTTAGTAACGTAGGATGCATTTCATCACTGAGTCCTGTAGATTTGCTTATATCAAGCTTATTTAGCAGACCAAAGACATCGAACTCTTTAATGGTTACGTCCAGTATATGTATGGGGGAATTTGTATGAACTGACGAGAAGGGTGTCTCTAGGGTATATAAAGTGCTAAAGTAGTTTGAGAATAGTTGAGCTTTACCATGGTCTTTCTCCACTAATTGTGATGTATTACTGTCTCCCCATAGTGCTGGAATGTTTCCTCTTTCCTTTGTCTGTTTGTTCGTATACGAATACAAGCGTTTAGGGCATTCTATACATTCCCTTAACAGTTTTTTCTTTATACAGCCTTCTAGACTTGAGGAGGGTCGATGCACAAGTATTTTGAGCTACTCAATATTGAGGTTTTTTCCCATCAGTACCCAGTATCCTAAATCTCTCGCACATTCTCCTCCTCTTGCGGAAAAGGATGCAAATCTCTTTACCGAATAAAGGTAGGAAGTCTATCGAACCCCTCGGTGTAGTCTAAGGGATGCGCGGTGCAGTAACTTAAGTACAAATTTCGAAATACATACCAAACTGTTTCAGTTGGAGACTCTGGACCTATTGTCCAATCTACTGACGATGCTGAGTGCATAATATGTTCTATATTTGCTTTCCAGATGCTAGGTTTGCATCGGGCTGATACGTGATCGTTGTTGACAACTATATAAAAGTCAAAGATTAGAACTGCATGGTCACTTTTACCTAGGGACGGCATGTAATCGAGGTTCATGACGTCATCCTCATAATGGGCCAGTATAAGATCTAGTAAGGAGGATTCAGATTCCGGGTCGTACTTAGTCGCCTCTCTCACATGTTGTACCACGGCACATGTGGTAACCTCATCAACCGTCTCCTGTCCGAATAAGTCTTCTGACATTTCAGTTCTCAGATTTTTCCAATCTACCATGGGTGTCTTAAAGTCTCCTAGGATTAGGCATCGAATAATTTGTGACCAAGTATTGAGACCATCTGGCAAGACCTCATTTGCCTCAAAACTTTGACTGCGGTAGACCAAACCAATCAGCAGCTCTTGTCCCTTTCATTTAAAGCGGCAGCTAACTAACTCACATGTCCCACTCTCATGTGATACACTGTCGATAATGGTACATGAAATAATATTCCTAGTAAATAGAGCTAATCCCTCTCCTTTACGCTTCTGGATTCTGTCGGCTCTTACTAATGTGAAAGCTTCAAAATCAAGTTCTAAACTGTCTATGGGCTGTGTCAGCCAAGTTTCTGTGACTGAGATTACGTCCGCCTGGTAGAGTGAATCTGTACACATATTTCTAATCGCTTATTAAGCATGCTCCGGGTATTTGTGTAACAGATCTGAAGCCTACTTAGATGGCTTTGTGCTGCACTCATATTGGCTTCGGCATCATTCTTTGTCGAGGGCTCATAACCCGAAAAATTACAATTTTTAGGTCCTTATTGCCGGCATATAACCTAAGTTTTAGTTCTTTTCCAGCTTTTCGTCTTTTTACACGGTCTGAGAGAGGAAAGTCCTCACAGACAAAAATTCCTGATACCTTTAGTTTATGTCCATTCAGTAGTGTTGAGTCCCTTCAATGGGACTGTAAGCAGACTGGTTCGATTTTGTTTCAAGTTCATTTGGCTACCTAGTATATACACCTTTGGCAGTGTGGCACCGGAGATATCCTGAGGCACTAGCTGATTTAGTAGCTGTTTTATCAACCTAATGTCATGTTCAAAACGAGTTTTAGGTTTTGAGCATTCACTTTCCTTGATTCTATGGGATATAACTGACCTGTCACTATGATCAGTCTCCGCTTTGGGGGGGGCTAGCATTCCTTTAATAGCGTTATGTCACTTCTTGTTCTCGACCTGTACCCATCTATCAACCTTCGTTGGAGGAGCAACCACAGTCACGTCAAACACATTAAGGGATTCCGGAAGATCATCGACGACTTGGGCAGTCAGGTTGCTTTTCCTGCTAAAGAAAGATCTAGGCCTGCGATTAGGTTTCTAAGGCGTTTCCACCCGGCTACGATTTAAAGTACGGGGGTAGAGGAAACCCCCTTCTTGTTTTCGTTTAGAACAGACATCTTTCAAGTCCGTCTTTCCTCATTTAACCCATGTGAGTCAATTATTACTGAGCTTATGTGAGGTGAAATCACGTCAGTTTGTGTGTCAACAGAGCAAGTACTGTTCAATGTGTCTCGACATACTTCGGTAGGACTCTAATTTATGGACGAGCCAATCAGAAGCGTTTAAGGAATTTCAAGGTCACGGCGGTAAGTTCAGTGCAAGATGCTGACGTTCGATCGTTTAACGGCAGATTTTAGAGAATAGGTGATCGTTGAGAGACTACAGCAGATGGCACTGTTAAGAAGTTCCTGTGTCTGTGACTGCGGCAATTAAATGACCGCAGCACGATGTGCAGACTGCCACGATGACATTGTATGTCGTTGTACTATAGTACAACATATATATGTTGGAGAAAAAAATCTGCTCGAACTGGCACTTTTTTGCCCGGTCACGGCTAAGGCTAAGACAAACCATGATAATCGTTGCAAATTGGATCATAAAGTCTCAAGTAACATTAGCTGCGGCTATACAGATGATTGGAAAGTGTATAGATGCCTCTCCAGACTTGAATTTGTGCATCATGTTGTGGTGCACAAACGTCATTTTGTTGATCCAACGACGGGGGTCGTCCATAAAGTAGAGTTTCACCCATACTTCGGTAATACAGTTTTATGCAGCACCCGAGCTCCCAATTTTGGGGAAAATTTGGCACATTTTGGGGAAATGGCACAAAAACCCCAAAATTCCACTTTAACCTTGGTCAAGATCAGTTGACTTTGGGGATTTCCCCAAAGTTGGAAGCTCGGGCACTTACCATTGAAAGGGTCACGGAACCGTGGCGTTAGCAAGCTGTTTGCGTCCGCG